TCCCTCACGTCATTAAAAAAAAAAAAAAAAAAAAAAACCCCGCTTCGCTGTGTTATTATTATTATTATTATAATACGCGCGCTCGCCGCGGGTGCCGGGACGATTTATTAATGAGCCGCCGAACGTTCGGCGCGCGCTAAATCGCCCGCGACCGACGCTTAATTGGACGCTACGCGTTGATTAATATTACCGCCACGCCGGCCCGGTGCAATCGGCTATTTTCAAACCGGCCGCGTCGCGAATGCCGTACGCGTCCTAATAACATTATTATCGGACGCCACGATTATTATTATTATTATCATCCATACGCAATAACAGTACAACGCGCGCGATCGTAATTGTTATTGTTATTGTTGCGACGATTGTCCGCGTCTTCGGCATTCCTTTACTGCTTCGCCACTCTCGTTCCGGACTTCCGCACGGCCCGGTCTCGCGGCCCGCGTACACCCGCCGCCGCCGTCGTACCGTTCTCGCGATCGCGTCCAGCCGGCTCATCTGTGGTCTTCCGCCTATTTTCACCGACGTCTCTATTCGCGCTAACCGTTTTCACCGCTCCGAAACACCCACTCCTCTTGACGTGCCCGAACCGTCACGGTCACCGGTTCTCCGGTTTTTCCACCGCCGGAGCCACGCCTACGCCAACTCTTAAGCGCTCGTCCCCCGTCCCGTCCCGTCACTCGTCGATCCGCTCGTACGCCCGAACGTTTCCACCTGTGCCGCACTCGTTTCGCGATCCTCTTGTGACATAAAACACATGACGCTCATCGCCGCTTTATCCGACCTACGCGCTCGATTCCGTATGTTTCGCACACTAGTCAAAGCCACCGCTCTTGTGTACAAAACGTCACGCGTACTTATACATTCCGCGTTAATATCGTGTAGGTTAGGTTTATTCGGGCGGTCGATAAATGGCCGGCGGACTTCCGGGTCGTTGGCTCTTTTCCGCCAGGCCATTCCCCTCTTCCGAGCGAACGTTTTTTTTTTCTTTCACTTTCACTTCGACAGCACCACAGAAATTTCGTCCTACACGTAAGACTCGGCTAACCTGGCAGCTTACAAATTTGTAAACCGACCAAAACATATTTACCAAGACGAGACGCTGGACAAATAAATAGCGATAGTTCGAGTACACTACGCGTTAACTGCGCGTTACGCAGACCCCGAAACGTCCACATTTTACCGAATCGGACTCCACAATCCCGTAAAAAGATTCGGCAAACCACCCCTTCGGATGCACCTTGACTCGCGTTTAAACAAGAAACTGGAAATGGTCTATTGGTTAGCCGGATCCCACTTCGAGTTAGAGCTATAGAAAGAAAAATAAAATAAACGTCTACTATAATATTGGAATCGGGACGTTGAGCCGACAACCAGTGGGCCTACAAGATGACTATATATTATAATGATTTATTATATCTACGTTTTTATTTTATTTTTTTTCCCCAGTGAACTCTTCACACTCCCAGTTGTACCGATTTTCACGCACTTTATTTTAACATATAGCCATTTATAAAATGTTTGTTGTTTGACAAAAACACTCCATTATTATAAAATAAAATGCTACGGAACCTACGACGGTGGCACAAACACCGCTGATTCCATATAACATTAGAGCATAATACAAATGTATAATACTAGTTCGATGTACCTTATCTCAAATAATTGATTTGATAAATATCGATATTTCAAATAAAGTAATGCCGGGTGGAAAATCCGCGTTTTTCAAGGTACGATGAGGATAATTTGGAGCACTTTGATCGTCGAAAAATCATCTTCCGAGAAAAAAAAACACACATTAGAAAAACTCTGATCTATGCAGGGTATCCCCACCGTATTCGACTAGATTCGTATTCGAGATATGTTAATATTCATTTTTTTTTTTTATCTGCTTTTATTTCAAGGGAAAATCTATTTAGAAAAAATGTAATTATTATTTTCATCCCCAAATCACTAAAAAAAAAAAAAATGTTTTATTTATTCACTTGACAAAATTTGCAAAATAGCCATTTTATAAAAGATGATATTCTAAAAAGTTTAACGTATCATACATTTATCGATAGTCTTTTTAGTAGCAGTTGTTTTAATTTCTAAAATTGTCTTTTCATAGGTGACACAGTAAATCGAGTTATTCCCTATCGCGTTATGCGGTAGTCACATCTTTTCTCTAGATAAATAAAACAATTGCATATGAACAGCTCTATAAAAACCCGTGGGACACCTTGTACATAACAGTTTCTACGCTAAACTGGAAAACTAAAAAAAAAAATATTTCAATGTTTCTAAAACGCATCATCACTATACGACAATAATTGAAAAAACCTATTGTGATATTCAGGGTTTTTTTTCAACGATTCCTAATGTTTTTACATTGTTATAAAGCGTATCGACACAGTATTGATCGAAAATATATTTTTGTTGTTTCGGAGCTATTGCGCGAATACAAAGATATGTATTTTATTATTAATTTAAATCGAAAATATAAAACGAGAATAACAAAAAAGAATCGACATCGTCGGTATCGTTTGATGTGTAATATTATATTATCATCAAATTTAATTCAGTTTGATTATTTCAAAGCAGACATTGGAATACGATGTCATAATTATCATTTTTCGTTTTTTTTTTTTTCACTAACCGTCCACATTATTATAATATTATATTATAAGAAGAAAATGCATTTCTCTATGACGTATTGTTAATTATATTATTTATAGTAAAATTTAAGCGAGAAAAAATGAGCCGATATTGCTGATGAGTGCATCACTGTTGTAGATGGGAATTTGGGGGAAGTAAATATAGTTATTTAATTTCTATGTGTAAGCTATGATGAACCATCGCTAACGAAAAATGATTCTGTGCGAAATTCTTTTATACACGACATAATATTTACGATTTTCGTAAAAATTTGATTTTAAAACTCTTATAAAAAAAACTACTCTATTACAATTAATTTTCGTCTTTTTTTTAACCACTCAGTACGATTTTTATGAACATTCTGTCAAATTTTCAAGAATTTCTGTTTGGTCAAACAATTTTATCCGCAAGATACCTACCAAATAAAAATCAAGTAAAAAACGTACAAAATTAAAATATCAATAAATAGCTAAAAAAATGGCTATAAATTATAATCGTTTTATGATCAAATTTATAACAGCACAACATAATTGAAAACTTTCCCGTACTTTCTATATCGGGTATGAATCCAGTTATAGTAGTTGATTAGTATCAATGATGAGAGACAACGGTCAAACTCCAAAACGAAATGACAACAGCGTTATCATAACACCAGAACCCTTGACCCAGTTCGACCGTAAACAACAAAGACAATTTAATATCTATAGATTTGACCGCATTTTATCATATTATTATTAACTACTTTACGAAAAAAAAAAAAAAAAAACAACCACACGCATATACGTTTAATTATTGCGGGTCACAGGCCGCAGAGGGGGCGGCCATCTAAAATGCCACCTTCATACACACACACACACCCCCCCCCCCCACCCGCAGATATGCCAATGGGTATATTATGCGTTTTAGTTTCGGAGCGGAGCCAGTGATACCACACGGACGTATGTGATTATTATACGATAATACGGGTACGTGTCACTGGAGCGATCCGCAATCGTTCGCTCCAATCGAATCTCGCATGCGTTCGCTGTCTGTGACTGTCGTGTATTGATGCATATCACATCGGATGTTTTGGTATATCATGCAACACTGTTTACTCCTAGTGAGAATTTAATGACTAAATGGCTAATGGGCAAACGCGATATGCGCTCGTGTTTGTTTGTCGCCGCTAATTTGCGCATTAATATCGATATCATTCGTATAAAATGGATATTCGTTTTATATCGAATCGATCGGATTGTTTTTGTTTTTTTTTTCGAATTCTCTCCGACAGCAGAGACTAAGGCACTGCGGCGGATCCGTAGTGTTCAGAAAGTTAACGAAAATGTTAATTGCGACCTATTTCACATTAGTTTTTAACTATAATATCGCGTATTTTTTTGGAAGGAACTTTACTACCGGAAATATTGGCCCAATCGACAAATGACGAGGGAATTTTTTCTTGCATTACGGATCAAGTTTCGGTGGACAACTTTTCTACCGGAAACCTAACTCCGATTTTAAAGTGTAGCAATTTTCCTAAAAGGAAATTTGACCACAGAATTGTTTTAAACTGGTATTTTTTCGATTTTCTCAAGAGTTTTCTCAACAAATGTCATTTTTTATAGAACGGTTTTCTTTATTTCACAAGTGTACCCATCGATATGCTATTACATTTCAGTTTTTTGTCCGACATACAGGATAAAATGATATTACGAGTAGTTTTAAGTAGGTATATAGAATATTGTTTTTGACAAATTATTTTTTTTTAATTTCGTACGTCATACCCGTCTACACCGCCACCATCGTCGTGATGCATTTTATTATTTTCACGGTTATCAGTATACCATTGTTAATCTTTGAAAAAGTTGATGTAATAGGGTTCTATATAATAAAACTTATTGTTTTATCGATCAATAAATATTGAGTGTCATATTGTAGTATTTCTTTTTACAACCGTTTAAAATCCTAACATTGACAACATTTCAAAACATGTCTTCACGAACTTCTCTCAGAATTGTATTTTATCACCAATGATTGATCGTTACGTACTAAAATAAATTAAATAACATTATATATCATTCCTTCCTATCTTCCTAATATCCAACATTGGCGTATGTATCAACAGTGTCAGGTCTTTTTTATCTTTGTAGTTCTATCTTAATAGGACGATTAATCCCTTAGGACGATGATTTTTAAAATCGAATCCACAAAAATCGTAAATTTACAACACGACCTACCTATAATCTCGAAGGTTTTTCTGCGTGTTTATTTATTTTTTATAGTTTATATTTATTTATTTTTTTTAATATTCTCCACGCAGACTATTTTTTTAATACATAATAAATAAAATGTGAATAGAATCTTAAATGTACAGAAAAATAACAAAGTTAATAACGGAAAGAGCAAGTTTATTTTGTGATATAAATATACATAATATTAATGAAACGTTCACACAATATTATGTATAATTGTATGGGCTATGGCATTTTTGATTTTTTGATTGTTGGACTACATGAGTTAACAGTTCTGAAACAAATAAACAACATTACGATTACACAAAATCGAAATAAATAATACAATGGCTATCTTCTTTATTAATATTATTTTTAATCGAAATAGTTAAAATAAATAAAAATATTACTATTTTAAGTAACAGGGTACAAGTAAAGTTACTATTAATGATAAAAATTTAAAAATCAATTATATTTAATTTATCGTCGAAATATAAATTTCATGCAATTTCAGAACCCTAATCTTAAATACGTCAATGATTTGATAAAATAGTATTAAATTTGTTTTTATTGCGATTGTCGGTAATTATTTAGTAAACAAATCGCGAATTAGTTCAATACGTATAAAATTATAATTTAGCCAAATAGTATATAAAAGAAATCTAACAAAATATATAAACTTGCGGTCACACTTACCATCAATTGGCTGGCGACGGGTGCGGCCTTGGCTACGATTTTGGCGGCTTTGGAGGCTTGGACCTGTCCGACGACGACGATGTTCATGGATACCTTTTCAGCGCCCATTTTTGATGATTTTGGTAGGTTTTTGTAGAGTGAAGAAGTAAAAGGCTATCAGTATAAACAAAAAAACAAAAATAAAAACCTGTTAATTTTGCTCACACCAGTTATGTTTGAAAAATGTTCGTTTCATTTACTCACCAGAGAATATAGAATCTCACGAAAATGTGTTATGCTGAAATCACGATCGGGGACTTCTTTTTATAGGGACCCGCGCGAAAGGCGTTATTGATGTACGATGAGGCGATATGTGGCGTGTTCGTTTGCGATAACGTCTATGGTTCGAATATTGGCTGATGTGATTAACCGCACTGCTCATACATTATTATCAATTATCTTAATACTCGTAAAACGTACGATTAATATTCAACTCGTAATTCGTATAATATAATATTCTCATCTCGGGTAAATAATAGATCATCATTTAAATTGGAATAATCCATAATTTCATTGTTTGGAATGCAATCTCAGTATACATAATTTTAAATGTTCATTACGATTTTTACAATTTTTTACCTTGTGTATTCTTCATCTTCCGTTTTTCCCGGTTTTTAAAATTTATCGGGAAAACTCCTAGGGAAATTAAAAAAAATACTTCCTCAAAATACCTCGCCAGTGAGATTTCCTTTAAAAAAAATTTTTTTTAAAGACATTTATTTCTTATTAGAAAAAGTGCTATCATTGTATATATGAGTAAAATTGCTGGTAAAAAAGTTGTCTACAGAAAAAAAAAAACATATTTTACTAATACATTTTCCCGTTTCTCCTCGGTTTTTTTTCTGTTTTTCACATTTGTTAAGAAATCTCTTGAGAAAATAAAAAAATGTATTAGTTAAGTACCTCCTCAGTGCTAATTTTCGTTTAGAAAAAGTGCACTTGTAAATTGGAGAAAGATTTCCGGTAGGAAAGTTATCCACGCAGAAAAAAAATTAAAAATAAATATCTTTGTAAAACTATAAGTTTCTTCGATCCATTCAAAATCTAAAATACTAAATTACACTCAATTTTGTTTTTTGTTTTTTTCACTTTTATGTACGATTTATAATAAACCTCTGTCAAATTTTAAAGCGTTTCGGTTAAATCCATTTTACCGTGTATAGAGTATCTACTAAATAAAAATGACGCAAAAAACTCGCAAAATTTAAATATCAATAAATAGCTCAAAATTGGTTTAAATATTTTGAGTATTTTACGTCTATAAAAGGCTAATCTAAGATGTCTGTCTAAGTTTAAATTTTTTGTATGAATATTTTTAACAGAATAACAAAAAAAAGACAAAATTGAGAAAAATATAAATATTGTTTTTATAAATTTTCCCGTTTTATCTACGTATTTTCCGGTTTTGCTCAATTATTAAAAAAGGCTACAAAGAAAATCAAAAAATGACTTTCTTACAACCAAATAGATAAAAAAATACTGCAAACAAAAATCTTTAGTTGTTTTTCCATTGGAGTAATATTTTTTGTAGAATGCATAAGCCGTAGAGATTTAAAATATTAGAATGCTAGCACCGCGTGCCATAAATTTATCATTTTTATTTTGCGTAATTTTCCGAATTTGCTCAATTATTACAAAAACTTCCCAAAAAAATATTGGAGCAATATACTAGCATTAAAAAAAGGCATTTAAACATAAGATTTTACTCTCATTTATAACAATCAAAATATAATAAACAATTAAATATATCACTTTACCTATATTAAAATGTTCCTACAATAAAATATAATATTCTTTATGTATTATTTGTATATTTACTAACTTAAAATTTAAATTCTTGGATCAACAAAAATTATTGTTAATTTATATGGTCCTCTGAAAAAAAAGGTTGGTCACCAGTGTGTCTTAAACCATAGTTTTTGTACCTACTCATAATATCATACAATTTAAAAAAAATAATAATAAAAACTCTACTTTGATAATAATCTTTTATTATTTGTTGCCTTTTTTTTTCTTTTACTGTTTTTATGTCCTTATTTAAGTAGTATTTATTTGTAATAATAATGATACAAAACTATTGGTACATAACTATGGTATACATTTGATTTGAGGGGGCTAATCTAAAACTTAGGGGACTTAGCTCCATACCACCCTTAATTCCGCCTACGGTAACGACAAAGTATTTTACCCATGTATGCCTTAACTGATGAGCAGAACAAAATACAGAGTTCCTATACAGACAATGCGTGTGTTTATGAAAAATAATGTTAAAGTAGTTATGATAAATTTATATACACAAAATTGTATATGAAATGTGTAGTTGACTATTATATGAGTCGTGGAAAGGGGATTGTGGGGGCATGTCCTCCATGGATCTTTGATGTGTCCATAATTTGATCACCCCTAAAGTTGCGTCTAAGCATATAAAGTCCGTATGTCTAATTCAATTGTAGGGCGAAAATAGTACATGTGAGTATCACGTCTTCCACGCGTATACAAGGGGCGATGTGTGAGTTCGATCCCCATCGACTTTATTTACTGTCACAGATATTGTAAAAATTAGCTTTATTTTTCAACGTTACAAAATTGTTTTCGTTAAATTTTTATGAAGAACAATTATTTTTCCAAAATAACTAACTTACAGCTTCATATTATATTATTTAACATTATTATATTTTTATTTTTATTGCAAAAAAAAAAGTTTAAGTTTTAAAAAAAATGTATAAAAAGAAACAATATTAACAATCTTTATCAGCAAATAGTCGCACCATAATAGGAGTTATCGCATGTACACGCCATATCGCCTGATCAAATGAAATGGGAGTCTATCGCATAGTATTAAGTTCCTATAAAAAGGCGGCCACCGTCGGGATTTCAGCATAACACATTTTCGTGAGATTTTTATCTTTGGTAAGTCAACTTGAAAGTATACCCGTGCGAAAAAAACTATAGTAGTATATTTTTTTGTTCTTATTATTTTACTTTTTACTTGCAGTTTTTAATTCTTCACACAACAAAAACCGACCAAAATCAAAAATGGGCGCTGAAAAGGTATCCATGAACATCGTTATCGTAGGACAAGTCCAATCTGACAAGGCACCCAAAATAGTCGCAAAGGCCGTAAACGCCGCTAACCTATTGATAGTAAGTATAATATATACTTACACTGCAAGTCCCTATTTTGTGTGAATCTGCAGTGTTCTACTTACATCATGTATATAAATATGAAAAAAAAAAAAATAGGAAAATATAATTTTGCTTAACTACTATAAAAGAAATTAATATTCATCCATCACGGTTTTTTGTTTTATACATCTTACAATCAGCCGGAGTAAAATTAAAATTTATAATTTTATATTTGCACAGCGTCGACTGTATTATTCAGATTTTATTTTCGTGTTCAATACTAAATAATTGTCGACATTTCGTCAATATTTTTAATGTGCACTATTAACATATGTGTGTTAAAAAATGTTGAATACACAAATGTGTCGAATTAACGCAATTGCTATTAAATTATAGCAATATTTTAACTGTTAACTATTTACAATTCAATTCATATTATAGCACATTCATCATGATAATTCAGGTATATAATGTAGATGCGTGAAACGTAACACTTACAAACCGTTAATCATACAATATGTTTTCGTCGCTTCAATTTTATATTAACGGCTATTTTATAATTGATAGTAATAATATGTCGTTTTGTTTCAGATCTTTTAATATTCATGGCGTAGTGCAGATCGTCGATCGCCAACTCAAAAATGCCATAGCCCGTACAGTGCACGTATCTTATATTCGAATTATTTAGGTACGTGTATTGATGTATCACACAATTTAAAATAAACCAGTACCTACTTTCGGCAATTTACTTTTTTTGTTATCTTTTTTATACCTCTGTCCGGCGACGTACATATTAACATGTATTACCGTACCTGTCGTAATCGAATCCTTTATCTCGATAAAAAAAAAAAAAAAAACACAAACAAAAACAAAACAAAATTAGAAATCGCATGACCGTAAAAATCCCGAGTACATGTTTATTGCCCGCTGAAATTATCATTATACCAATTATATCCACGTTTGTATTGTATATATTATGCTAATATTATACTTGGTCCAATAATCATTGTCGTGTTGCACGAATTATCGAGCTAAAACGACATTGCGTGAATATAATATAATGTATATTATTGACGTTTCATATTTTCAAAATTGTTCCCATGGTAGGTAATCACGTCGTATTCGGTATTTGTCAAACAACTAAGCGAAACAAAACAAAAATCCCGATTTTCCTCTTAAAATTATTTGTTATTTTACTTATACCTATGATCTATAATATTGTTTTAAAGCGCCCGCCTGTCTGTTTCAATATTTGATTAATACTTTGAAACAAATACTTAGTATCACTATTGTTTCAATGAACAACGAATCAACTACGAAAATTGATCACGCGTTCAACAAAAACTAACAATTCGAATATAATTATAAATAACGCATTCCCAAACTACTTGAATCCCGGGTCTAGGTAGATTCCCTACAGCTGTATAAAATATCAAGCTAAAATAAGACACGCCCGTGAAAGTGTGATCGAATAATCGGTGGTGAGTCCATTTTTAACCGAGCACACGTTTTCCATTTTCTCCTTAAAAACTAAAATATTTTTTATTTCTTTTTAAATGTGTACGGCCAATCAATTCTAGTTGTCAAACAGGATGTAGGCCATAGTTCTTATTTCATTTTATTCACTCGTTTATTTCATACCATTGTTTTGTTTGGATTCAGATAGAAAAAAGTAAATATAATTTGCCGTTTACCGACAATTACGTTGTTGGCTGCAGAAGTTATCCTATTACGACTTAACACGGCAGTGTAATAGGCCTTTACTCTATCCAGGATAGGATCGAACCGGTCTCGGACAACAAAAACGTGTCGCCACTACCCTCACCGTCGGGATTTCGATTCGAATAAACAATCGGCGGAATCGAATAATAAAATCGACGGGCTGAGTGTGTATATATATATATATATTTTATGTACAATCGATACCGCCGTCAGATTCAACATTTTATTATTTGATCGCGAACAATTCACTTTTTAACCATACAAAAGTTTTAAATTATAAACGAGGTGCTGCAATAATATTATTTGTATTGGATTCGAACGGAACGGCGCACAGGATGATGTTTACCGAGAACGGCAAGAGCGCGAAATTAGGTAGTCAAATTTCATTGGGAGGTGGGCTGTATACAATATACATATATTATACGAGAACGAGATGTAAAATGATTTCCATTTAACCTTTTAGCTCCACTTTATAAAATCGCATATTATGCTGTGTGTAGAGGTATAGAGCGCGGATGAATTAATGCTGTAAAAAAAAAAAAAAAAAAACTAATAATAATAATAACAAAAACAATAGTATTATTTAAAATAAATGGATAACAGTGCACGTATTTGCTAACCAAACAGCATTTTACGGACAAAACAATCCGAATTTATGCGTCTACCTATAATGTATACATTATCACTAAATGATTTGAAAAATATGTTATCCTCAAGAGTCGCGTCCAAGATAAATCGAGCAGCGCACAGTCGCCGTTTTCAAAACCCATAATAACCCCATAATCACTAAATAAACGTTCACCATATCGCTTGTTATACTGCAACACTATCTAATCTATGTATTAGTATTGTAAATTAATTTATTCCGTATAATAAATAAATATTATGAACTAGTTCGTGTGTTTATAAAAAAAAAAAAAAAAAATCCTTTGATGATGGGCGACCACCGCTTGCTACAATACAGTCTCTGAGATTTTCGGCGTGTTCGGGCACGAGTGTCTACAATTTGTGTTTGGCGCAAATAATTGAATAAATTGAAAAATATATATTTATAAATTGTAATTATTATTGATTATCGATAAGTAATATGACGAATAGTAATAAATAATATTATTTGTTCTTTACATCACGGTTCAGTGTTTACGGTTTAAACCGCGATTTAGACAAAACGATGCATTACAACGGCGAGCCCCGAACGTCGTGTACTCATACATTTTCAAGGAGACATTGCGCCTGTACGGTCTTTGAAAAAAATTCAAAGGGTGGGAGATTTTCTTTAGGTGTTTGATTTGGATAGGATGGGTATTGGTAATCAATCGAAATATTGGTTTTAGGCCAATTTTTTGTTCACTACGCCACCGAGCATGACGCGAATTATGAAACAAACTGCAGTAATAACGACGACCATGGGCAATGGGTAACTTGGGCTTGGGCAATTTGTACGAGGAGGAAAAAGTTTATTTCATTTCAGCATGTACCTAAAGACTTTAAAATATCTAAACACGTTTATCGGGTTTCAGTAGTTTTTGACCGCCGTCGGACCGTAGCGTGCTCTCTTGCTGGGGAACTGTGGTCACGCAAATGAGGCATCGCCCCGTTTAATTTTGACAGGGAGTAGTCGCCACTCCTCGGTCCTCCCCCCCAGTTTAAGACTATAACGTCGATATTGGGATAATAATGTTTTTAGAAAACTGTAGTAAATACTTGAAAACAGTAAAACGTTGTGCATTAGCGTGTAGATATTTTTTTTTTTTAACGTAACACTTGTTTCGCCCTGCAAAATATATGAACGCGTGAAAAGACAAGATGACTCACTACCATTAATTTCTTTTTTTTATAAATAATTACTCGACGTTTAAGTATTTAATATTACGATTAAGTCGGTTTTGTGTTTAAACAGCGACGTGGTTGTAAAATATGAGAGTTCTCTACGACAAAAAATAATACGATGATTTCACTCTTCGCCGACGACGACGACGCCGTCCTTTTTTTTATAAATCCACTAAATAAATTGAGTTTGAGAAAAAAACCGTTTTACTTGTGGATAAACAAAATAATGCCTTTTGCAATTTCACTATTAAATATTATAAAACATATACATTGCTTCTTGAAGAATAATGTCTTTTTTCCACGTCGATTTTTCAATATATTCCGTTTGATGTTTTTTTACACGAGATACCTACTCCATATAGCGTATAGATGGTGCAAAGAAAAAAAAATCGAGACAAACGACACTTTTGCAAAACATTTACTTTCATAGTGCGTATAATGTTTATACCAACCTTTGGGCTTTGACCTTTGAACAATAATAATATTCTTCCATCCCTAAGCGATGAATACGAGTTGGTATAGGTTTACACACGATTTTCTTTTTTTTTCTTTCTATTATCTAGATTCTACACTATTATACTTGTTTGTTCAGCGGTTTATATACAAATATAAAAATTATTATGCGTTTTATTAATGTTTTTTATACCGAAATGGGGTAAGTGTGACTGTTAGATATTTAGACATGATAAAATTCATAATAATTATACACCAGACTCCATTAAAACTATGCCTCATATTATTGTCCTCTCGGAGCTGATAAAATTTGTATGTCTGTTGCATTGTTTAATATTGTGTTATTAAGTCCCACATAAAGTGGTGTGATAAAACTTACATGTAAAAATTCGATACCAAACGGTACTGCATTTTTAATCGCCAATAGAAGGGCGACCGCCCCCTCCCTAGGCTTTTTTTTTCTTCGTAGCGAAAAAACCATTGTTAACAAAAAAATGATTCTGAGCGAAGTTCAGTTGATAGTGATGCTTTGTCAATAATATATATGTCATATTATGGTAAAATAATTAAATAGGCGTTATATATTTGTTTAACAATATTTGTTTAATATTGTACCGATCTTCCCGGTTTTTCGCATTTGCTGGGAAAACTCTTGGAAAATCGAAAAATAACCTCTCTAAAGTACTTCTATCAAATTTTCTTTCAGAGAAAGTGCTATCATTGTAGATCAGAGCAAAATTGCCGGTAGAAAAGTTGTCCACGAAAAATAAAATCGTAGTAATATACTAATATATTCGTATATTTTCCCGTTTTTCCTCCGTTTTTTTTTTTCGGTTTGAGGAGAAAACTCTTAAGAAAATCGAAATATGACTTCCCTAAAATACCCCTTTACACCGATTTTCTTTCAGAAAAGGTACTACACGTAAAAATTGGAGCAAGTTTTCTGGTAGGAAAGTTGTCCACAGGAAAAAGAAAAAAAAAACATCATTGTAAATTCCTAAGCTTCTACACTCCACTCAGAATCTAAAACGTGTAGATTGTTTTACTTGCTCCAGAACGTTTCAATATATTTATAACATACTTTTATATGCCGATTTACAGTTGCTCCAAATAATAGGGAAAATGTGACCACAGAGATTTTTTTTTAAGTGTAAATTTGTGTCATGTGGAAGTTTTCACACAATTTATAATTACACAAATAATACACAGACCATTTAGTGGCAATGGTACTAAAACCAAAAAAAAATTAGTCACACATACCTAACCTTATTTTAAATGTTGGTAAGCAGGTCTACCTGTAGGTAATACTATACCTGCTAGACACTTCTTAGTTCTTATTGATTGTTGAAATAAATAGTTACCTATACAATTGTATATTTAATATCTACTTAATTTTCACGTACGTTCAGCTGGAAATATTTGATAAGAAATTTGATGTTATTAGCCCTTAAGTAGTTAATTATCGATAGCTATTATAATATTATTATCTATAATAATTTAATTTTAATAAAACTCAGTACGCATTCTATGAGACCAAGTTTAAACTACAACAGGCTGCTGTTACCGGGTTACTTGATAAGGAATGATAACGGCCGTGATGACAATCCGATGATATCTCTTATAAACAACACGTGTGTCTTGTAATTTCTAGTTTTTTAAAAAAAATTTAATACATATTATTATCGTAAATCGAAGACTGGCTGCCAAATTAAAATAATTTCAACATGGGCAAAAAACGTAGGCGCACCGACGAAGATACGGAATTCGATTTATCCCGAAAGGCCAAAGAAGTAAAAGACGACAATGAAAAACGGTTAATAATCATTTTGGAAAACGCACAACTAGAAACGGTCAAAGTAATCCAATCGAACTGACGTTGATCATTTAACATTATTATTATTATTTTTTTTAACTGTACTTTTTTAAAGGTTGGCAAAACATTTGAACTGTTAAATCCCGACGAGCACGGACACATATTACGGAAACACGGACGAGAATTGGGTAACTGTCGGCCCGACATTGCCCATCAATGTCTCTTGATGTTGTTCGACAGTCCGTTGAATAGGGCAGGTCTACTTCAAGTATATGTTCACACGGAAAATAATGTTCTCATCGAAATCAATCCACAAACGAGAATACCACGAACCTTTAAACGTTTTGCCGGACTAATGGGTAACCGCATTCATTAAAAGTATCAACTTGTGGTGTCTGCTCAAAGTATTTTTACCTTAAATCACTGATTTAATTTTTTAACCACTCATTTCAACCAAAAAAAATCTCACCCTGCAAAAATGTATTGAAATTTGTTAAAATTTCTCAAGTTTATTAAATTTCCACATTCTAAAATTCTTTTAATGACTTGTTTTGTAAAATAATAATAATTTTTGTTATATTTCTGAACACTCAAGTACCCTCAAACCGCCACTGTTAATAGGCGTTTTTGTTTAACTTACATAACAATTAATTATATACAAATTTGTTTAAATTTCTTAAACATATTAGGTATACAAAATTTAAACATTTTATAAAGTATTTTTCTAAACAAAAATATTTTAAATCCCAGTTATCTACTTTTATTGTAACTTTAAATTTATATTTCATACTTTAACATTAGGTACTACAATGCAATCAATAAATTTATAGTTATATCATTTTATTACTAGTTATATTAATATTACTACTGAACCAAAATCTAATACTTAGATCAACTTTATTAAATAACTGGCATTACTAAAACACAGATTTATATACAATAAAAAATATTAAAATTAAAAATCGTAAAAGGTACTAAAAAAAATTTTATTAATTTTTTTTTTATTCAAATTAATAACTAAATACCTAGTATTCAAGTTTTTCTTTTGTAAAACTGTGATGTCAATAAATGTGTATGAATTAAAAACGATTCTTTAACATTAACTGTAGTAGTTGGAGTCAGCCATATTTGCAACAACTTAGTATCATTGGGTTTTGGTAAATTTCATCATGTTGAACCAATTCACTTTAAAATACTTAATTCATTTTTAGATAAAATACTATTTTTATTTTTTATTTTGTTTTGTTTTTAATATTGCCACATTAAGTCCAGAAATAATATTTTTATTTTAAATTCATTAACTAAACATAAAACATGAATTTTTTGATTATTGTTGCTAAAAATGACAAATGTTAATTCGTTTTTAGATGATTCATATTTAATCTTCTGTTAGCTTTTAAATAATCTTTTGGTATTTTATAAAGTGTTCCACGTTAAGCTGCGTCCAGACTAGACGACTAAGGGTATTGAAGGCACATGTGGCGATCTTATTCAATGATGTTGGTTTTGATGTAGACAGCGCAACTGAGCAAATGTGTGGGGGAGCGGTATATAAAAAGAATTCATTATCGGTTTGGACACAATTTGTTGATATTTTAGTCTTCGTCGACATTTGATTAAAACGAATGTCATGTTAATTTTAATTATATTTAAAACAGATTAGAGTTTATATCAAGACATACAATACTATGAGATCCAACACATTTCGAATACAAATTAAACAAATTAATTACCGTTAATAAGTCATTTCACTTGATATCATTTTATTTAAAATATAATATTTTAAATTTTAGAAAATATTAAATAAATTATATGCATTCGCAGCATAAACAAGTGAAGGTTTCCAAACATGGACAAATTCAGATTGAGTTTGGACAGTACGCCGATGATCTCAAATCTAAGTACAGACAAGACCAAATATGATTACGTTGGTGGCCGGGTGCCTTGGACGTGTAGTCTGGACGCGGTTTTATATATAGCCGCAAGTAGCCATGCCCCCCGCCTTATAATTACTGGGATGGGAGGTACCTAAAGGTATATTATCCATTTTGTTCTTAAAAATTAAAAAACCTATTATTTTGTTGTAGAACGTAATATTTCCATTGAAATATGCAATTAATTACGTTTACATTTTCAATCAAAAATTCAATATACTATCTATATTATACTTTTACTTCAATTATTACCCATAGTTAGTTATCAAAAATAGATTTCATATGAGATATTAACTAATATTGATATTAATATTATATTGGATCTTATTATATTATCATATTATTTTTATTTTGATAGTTCAGTTATTGCATAAATTCAGTGTAAGAGCAGCCGAAACTTCGGCCAAATTGATGAAAGTGATAAAAAACCCAATCAATGATCATTTGCCAGCGGGCTGTCGAAAAGTAGCTACATCATTTTCGGCGGCAAAACCCATCAAACCGTCAGAACTTGTTCCTCAAGACGTTCCGATTGCTTTTGTCATTGGCGCAATGGCTCATGGACAGGTATAATATTTATCAATATTTTCACTATGAATATTAATATATTTTAACATTAACTATTTCATTAGATTAAAACTGATTACACGGAAGAAACTGTGTCAATTAGTAATTATCCACTATCAGCAGCATTGACGTGCACGAAAATATGTTCAGCTTTTGAAGAGGGCTGGGGTATATTATAAGTTGTTAAATTATTCTATAGTTTTGTAAAATATAATATTTCATTTCAAAACAAAATTTTTTTATATATTGATTTGATTTATAAAAATATATCAAATTAAAAATTATTGTGAAATTAAAATGTATTTTTTGTATGTTGTTTGTTTTCAATAAAATAAACTGAAAACAAACAATTTGAAAATACTAATTGACTTACAGTCTTAAAATTGGTGTGTAACATTATACAATTGTTAAAGATTTAATTGCTTGTAAGTTATAATATACTTCTTAATTATAAATAATTTCTGATCAACATACAGTGATTTATTTCTGTACAAAAAACTGAACAAGTTATAAAAATATATAGTTTAAAACCACAACACCACTAAATTTCTTAAAGTTAAATTCATATGAAGAGATTTGATAAACATTTTAATACTTAAGTGTACTTTTCTTGACACCTTTCTTTAAATTAACTAAAGGATTACCTATTCAACATAATATTATCACTGTTTTGTCAATTGTGTGTAAAACTTTATAACATAATATTTAAAATCTTTATATTATTATCCGGTTGTGACAAAAATCCCATCATTAGTGCTTTCATTCAAAAGTTATACCATTTTCAAAAATATTATTACATTGATTTGGAATTTTTTTTTATTATTTAACAAATTTTGAGCATACTGTACAGTTTAGTAAAAAGTTGTGTTTTTCCCATATTATGCCACATTGTCATCGTTTTTGAAATTATATATTTCTGCAGAAGTTATTTAATTACATCATTTAAAATATTTATCTTATCCCGTAGTAGTATATTAGTCAACAATTGAAATTAATTTTGATAATTTATTAAACTCAATAATCTTAGTATATTATAATAGGCTTTATTAGGTTTGTAACTTGGTATATACTTTGTTGTACTTTAACATAGTACTCAACCACTGACCAATTTATATTGTACAATACTTTCATAACTAGTTTTAGATCATTTGAATATTCCAGTATATCTATGTAAAGTAACTATCCAAGAAAAGTATTTAAGTAGATAAGTATGTATTTCAATTTTAAATTATATAGGTAATTATTTGTAACCGACCATATTTTAGATTCTGAGTGAAGCAATGGATCTATTGCAGTGGCGTTCGCAGGATATTTTAAAGAAAGGAGCTTGATAATTTATATTTAATCAGTTCTTAATTCAGTTGTTTTGTCACAAGTTTTGCAAAATAAAGTAAATCATTAGGTGCATTTTTAGTTTTGACTGATAGGTAATAAACAAAATATACAAAAAAAAAAACTTTATTATTTATGTATTTATGTAGCTATAAAAATGTTGAGCAATAAAATACAATTTTTAGGCTAGCAGATTATTAAAAAAGCAATTTTATGAATTGTGGTTTACATAACTTATACTTTTTTTTTCTTCAAAGTAAAAATTTAAAAAAAATCTCTTTTATGTCATAATGAACAATTAAATAATTATTTTAGTGTGCAAAACTATGAGATACGTTTTATATGAAAACAATGATGAAAAACCTAAGTATACAAAATATTATTACTTTGATATTCAAGAGAAATAAGTAAAAACAAAATAATCTACATAACTGTTTTTCATTAATTAAAATATATATAATTATTAGGTATCTACAATTCTACAACATATGTGGTCTACCTTAATGATGCGTTAATTGTTGGTAACTTCAATTCAATAAGTTCAATATTGTAATCATAGTATAATCTAAGGTTGTATGGCAATCAGCATATACACAGTAACACTAACAACCAAATTTGTAATAATACCAAACCACTGTTTACTACAACAAGTGTCACCATAGTTAGATAAAAATAATAATCTTATAAACCTTATAATATTTTATTCTGTGATAATTATAGTAATATAGATAGGTTATTAATAGAGAATGGTGGTAAATTAAATTATTAACTTATAAAAATGTTGTATTTTATAAAAAAAAAAAAAGTCCTTACTTACTAATTATTGTTACAGTTAAAATTTGAAAAATATAAATTATATGCATATAAATACGGTCAATAGGAGGAATTCTTCCCTGTGTACTACACTGATCTATTGGTTTTACTATGGTGTATATTTTTTTTTTTTCTGTCTGTAAACAACTTTTCTCCTAGAAATCTTATGACAATCAAAACATGACCATCTTTTTTGTTGCATTTTCGCTTTAGTTGGCATTTTAAAAAGATTATTTTTTGAAATACTTCATTAATATTCGAATGAGCAAAAACTGGTTCATTAGGTTAAAAAATATTTCAAATAAGATTGTCATTAACAACTTTTTTTATTTATTTTTTTGTTATTTTAATTTTTTTTGAACAATCGCTGTCTTGAAAACTGAAGAATCTACATGTTGAATAGCAATACTATTTACCAAGCTACATTCAGAATCGTTATTTGTGAGTAATCATAAATTGTTACGTGCAGATATCAAAAAATTTGAGTCCACATAGTCCAGTGGCAGATCACAGCAAAATGGCCCAGTTGGATATTTAACATTAGGGCTAGTGACCCCACTTAATATCATTTTTGAAATTTTAAACAGGGTTAAGTAAGAGAAGATTCTTTACCCCCTCCCCCCAAAAAAAGTAAATTGTTTACATAAATTCTTACTCTAACCTATAATAAAAATGTTTTCAATTACTTAAAAAACAACATAAGTATTAATTACAAATAAATAAAAAGCCAGGCACTTCGCACGTGGGTACTGACACTGTTGTAGGTAAGAAGTTAGGAAAGTAGTAGAAGGAAAATTAAATATATATCTGTAAACAATGATCTAACAAAAAAACGATTCTGAACGAAGTTCAGTTGATAGTGTTGCTTTGTTAACAATATATATACCATATTATTGTAAAATAATTACATAGGTATTATATATTTTCTTTAATAATATATTTGGTTAATATTGTACCTATTTTCCCGTTTTCTCCTAAGGTTTTTTCATGTTTTTTTCAATTTATTGGGAAACCTTCCGGAAAAATCAAAAGATTACTTCTTTAAAATATCTCCCCAGTCAGATTTATTTTAAGAAAAAGTTCTATTATTGTAAACTTAAATAAACATCTTTGTAAAACTATTAGCTTCAGAATCTAATGTGTAATTAGGCATGCATTCAAATTATAAATACAAATTTTATTTAAATTCTAATGAATTTAATTCTACATAATATTATAACTGAATCAAACTAATAAATAATATGATGTACTACAGTACATCGTAGCACAATCAATTTGTATACCTATTCATTCATTAAATTTAGTGTTTACCTTAACATTTTCGCTTAGGGGGCCCACACGGCTGGGTCCCGGTCGGATATGCCTATGTTGCCCGAGTATTAGATCCGCCACTGCTACCTATAAAAGTGACTGCACTCGTTCCAGTATTAGCATTTTTTTTTTTTTTAATACATTGATATGAAAATTATCAATGAGTATATTCATTAAGTACCTTTTCTATTAACAAAACAATTATTATAATTCTAATATATGAAGAAAATTCCTAATTAATATATACTATTATAGTTTTATTTTTATTAGATTTTTTTTTAAAAATTATATAAGATTTTCGATTTAGTCTAATGGTGAGAAGAAAATTTCAAACTTTCCATGTGGAAAATGGCTATCATTAAAAAAAGCCCTCTCCTCTTTTGTAAATGGTAAATAGCATTAACGATTTGATTTCCGGCACAAACCAGCACTAAACTTATAACGAATAGATTATTTTTCGATTAAATTACTCACCGGGTTTTGGATTTTCAAGTCACAATACTATTAAATCGTTACTGGGCCCAACGAGGCGGTATCAGATGTACCCTTTTCGTGTACAGAAAATACTCGATGACGTCCGCTAACAGGTCGACGTTGTATTTTTGGCAAAAGTGTTCGGGTCCGTACTGTTCACAAAGCCTCCGTGACAAGTCGTCCATCCTGACGCCGTCGCACGACTGGACAATGATTTCCGCGACACTCGTGGCCAAACAGTCGAATTTGTTGGTCATAGTATTCTAATAATATTGTTGTGTGTAATACATGATGGACGTCGTTTATCCGTCTGAAATGTGTGGAAAAAATGTACGCGGATTTTAAAATTTCCGAAACTACGATCACTGTGGTATTTGTTTACAACCCAGTACGTTTCCATGCGAATCTACTTTTTTTTGAACAAACACAAACATGTGGTCATTGAAACATTTGTATTTATATATATTTTTAAAAACACTTTATACTCATATCGTAATAAGTTAAAAAAATCCAAGAAAAAACTTATGCAACACGCCGAAAAGAGATAAACACAATGGAATAGAGGGCAACGAAATAGCCGATCTAGAAGTATCCAAAGCAGCTTTCTCTACTGACACCCAGTGGCGCAACTAGAGTTCAAATCTTAGGGGTGCTAAAATTGTGAATCACTTACATAGTGCCCGACTCTCAATGTTACATATTGTCAGTATTTAAATTAAAATATTATTATATTTAAAATACCATATTATCATTTTTGGAGGAAATAATTTAACACATTTAATTTTTTACTATAGAATTTTATTAAATTAAAAATTGAAGAGTCAAACATAATTTCGTATCGATAATAGCAAATATGTTCAATATTTCGTCTGGAACAATGTCACCAATCACCATGTATAATGTATGTGGAACTAGGTCTCTCGGAATATTTAATATACCTACATATTTTTACTAAAAATAGTACACATAATGAATATTAAACGAAAAATTTAATAATTGAATACTATTTTAGATTCTAAGTGGAGCTAGGAATGTTTTATAATGATGTTAATTATTTACTTTTTTTCTGTAGACCACAGAAAAATTTTCTTTCTGCAAAAATATAGGTACTTATAATAATTTCTATTATTATCAATAAATTGACAAAAATAATATTTATTAATTTAATTATGTATAGCGTGTATCTTACGGAATTCAACAACACATTTTAGATTCTGAGTGGAGCGAGATTGATGTTTGATGATGTTTATTTTTTTATTTTTTACTTTGGACAATTTTTCTACCAGCAATTTTGCTTCACTTTACAATGACATTACTTTTCCTAAAAGGAAACCGGGCCGGGAAGGTGCTTTAAGGAAGTAATTTGTTGATTTTCCCAGGAGTTTTCCAATAAATGGGAAATTAAAATATGGAGAAAATGTAGAAATAATAGAAAAATAGGTACAATGTTAAACAAATATTATTAAAGAAAATATTTAATACCTATTTAACTATTTTACCATAATATGACATGTATATTGTGTATTGTTGAAAAATTAACACTATTAACCTAATTCCGCTTAGAATCGTCTTTTGTTAGCAATTATTATTCATTGTGTACAGATATAGGTACATTAAATTCTCCCTCTACCTTCCCAACTTCTCACCTACAACAGTGGCCCACCCACGTGCTATGTTTGTTTTTCATTTTTTTTATACGCGCCTACCTAGTTAGTGGAATAATTGATTCCTGAACGTCGGATTATTTTTATAGCACAGAAAAAAAAGAAATTTAAAAATTAAGTTTTAAATTAGGTGCTCCGGTAAATATTCTGCTCTCAGGCGTTTAATAAATATATACCATCATATCAAACGCGACGCCATTGATTAAATACAATTTTAGGCCCCGCAATTACTCTGCCCCAATTCCCGCATATTTTCAGGATGACCCTGCTCCATGACGTCCCCTATCGATAACTTACTATCGTTCGCGGTTAACGTGACGATATTATGTTACTTATTCACTATTATATACGATCAAATTATAATAGTATAACGATAAATAATTATAATATCTTATACTGATACAATATGTTATATCACGGAATATACAAATCGAATATACCATATTATATAACATTATAGTACATAAATATTTACCGTTGAAAATATGACAACGATTACAGATCGCTCCAGTGGTATCTACTCGTATTAAATAATATACGCCTCAGTAGTATCCCTTGCCCCGCTCCGTATCTTAAACGCGCATAGGTACCTTATTGGGATAACAAACTAATAAAGGGAGCGCTAGTAACAACTATGGGTGGCGGTTACCCTACCGATCCGGAGTAGGATAAACATTACTGATACTAGTGATACTACACGTAAAAACGTTAAAATTACGAGTTTAATTTCATGTTTTTCTACAATAAGTTATTAAGTCAATAATAATATGCCATTCACTATTGAAGAAATATTTACGTTTGCTAAATGTGCTTACGAAATATTGCCGAAGGAGAGCAAGTTTTAAAACTCAAACAAATAGTATTGTGTGGAAAAATACTAAAAATGTTTAATTAAGAAATGGAAAAAAAAAATGTTTATATATTTTCATTGTATTACTAATAAATTAAGTTGTATTTCTTGTCTATAAATAATGTTTACATTGTTGTGTTAGAATTGCAATCATGTTAAGATGAGCTTTTTTTACTTAATGTTAATTAAGTTCATTAATAACAAAATAAATTAAATAGGTATATAGTATGTATTACCTAACCTAACCTAACCTAACCTAACCTAACCAACCTAACCTGTGCATTGTACATACGTAAGTAAAGTGGTGGCGTGGTGTGATGTAAAGAATTGGGTATACTGAATTACAGCCAAAAACTGAACAATTTACATGGTTTTTTGACAATTTAGGGAAACCTTTTTACCTCGCTACCTTCTTACTAAACTATACACTAATTGTTTTTGATCAATTCTACATCAAATTTAACATAACTAAACTTTAAAATATACAAGTAAGCATTTAGATATAAAAATACGTTAAATGTTATATAAAACAATATGATTAACCGACTACAAGTAGTTAAGATTTTGTCCACCAGGGAGCGTATGCTTATTTTGTTTCCCCAGTACTAAAACCAATGTGATATATTTCAAATGAATAATATCCGTCGAAATATTTGTACTCGTAATTCAAATGTTAATATAAATAAGAATATCTGCGCAATATTTTTGTTAATTTACCGTCTTTGTTTCTTTGAATTTTCTAATGCGATATAGGAACTCAAATATTATTTATCGTTGTAAACCTTAAACTGTTTAGAACGTAAATTTAGTGTACTTAATACTTAATATACAATAAAAATAAAAATGAAAATGAACAATGAAAAATAATGAAAAATGAAAATTTGGTTATCACCAGCAGTTTATTAATATTATAGGTAGTATAGCTCGTCTTAAGTTGTAAATTGTGCGGTGGTAAGTCAGGTACATCTGAGGAGTTTAAAAATTAAGTTGAATAATTGTTTGTTACAGTCAATAAATTTGAATGAATGCAGAGTACTAACGATTTGATTCTGTATTACAAAGTTTAAGTTATTCACATCTATATTCTTAATAGCTAAAATTGTTCGCTCACTCAACCATTCGATAATTTTGTAGTTAGCAATAACCCCTAAAATTGTTTGGGCCCACGTTCAACATCTTCTTAATCCGGGCTTGCATATTCTATACAACTAATAATTCGAAATATAACATAAAATGTAACTCGATTAACAAAACTCAAATTAAAAGGCAAACTTATTCGTTAAATGTATAAGGACTGTAAAAAATTGCTTCATGGAGAACATTGACATCTATAATAAAACTAGATGATTTAATTGAAAATTTTCAAATGTTTACTTTCCCATGTCCCGATCGTATGTATGGCATTTTTGCATTTTCACTTAAGTATTTCTCGAGTATGCGAATGACAGAGTGTTCACGAACAGTAAATCGGGAAATTGTTAAAACACAAAGAAAAAAAACCTATCAAAATTTTGTACATCATAAATTGTAACAACATATTATTAGGAACTATCATCAAGCTATCGCAATCAGTGTACTTCCTATTAATACAAATTTAATAATTTATATTTATTTACGTCGTAACACGTTGTATACAATATTCTAATATTCTAATATTTTACCATTATATGACGTATATATTGTTTGCAAAGCAACTATACTATCAACTGAACTCCGGTCAGAATCGTTTTTACGTTAGCAGTGGTTAATCGTTGCTTACAGATACATATTAAATTAAATTACCTAAAACAGTGGCTGCACCCGTTTTAATTATCCTAGGACAGATTTTCTTTTATCAACCCTCTGATAGTATATTTACTAGGTATTGCCTATTCAATCGGTATGTGCCGTCCAACGCGATTGTACCGAATTAACGACGACGCAGTCGTTTGTATAACGTGCTGTTTATCGCCGACGGTGCGTGCAATTACAATTTCGACGTACCGTAATTCCGTTATCGGCGCCAACAGAGACGATAACAGATGAGCTATAAAAAAAAAAAAAATGAAAAAAAAAAAATACAGATCCGTCCGTGTTGCGCGCGTGACGCCCGAAACCAGTTGAACCGTCGACCGCGTCCAGTCAGTACGTTGTTCGCCAACGAAAACGCAACGTTTTCGCCGCAGCGGTGTTAACTATATACCGGACGGCCGGTGCATCTACCGCGGTACTACCTGACCTGAGTACCTAACCGTGACTACTAGGCAAGTACTCGGTGTGTACCGTATCCGCACGGGCTTCGGTTTCGAGGTGGCAACGGCCACTTTGCAGTCACCCCGGCCGTGTTGTCCGAACGGCCGGCCGCGGGGCGTCTGACCACAGCGCGGCGAAACTCTCGTTTTCACATCGGCGGCGGGCGGTGGTCACAACCACGGAAAAAGCGAGGCTAGTTTCTCGATTGTGAAAAGCCCGACGGAGCGAAGGGCTCAAGTTGTTTACCGGGCAAGCTCAACGACCGGGGACGTAAATTATGGCGGTCAGCCAAAAGTTGAGCCGGAAGAAGACGATGGCCGGTGTGGTGCGCGAGACGTCCACGTTGAACAGAGTGCTGAGCACCGTCGACCTGACGGCTCTGGGCGTGGGCAGCACCATCGGCGTCGGAGTGTACGTGTTGCCCGGGGAGCTGTCCAAATTCGTGGCCGGACCCGCCGTGGTCGTGTCATTTTTCATCGCGGCAATCGCCTCCGCGTTCGCCGGTAAATAATTGCACAATATTTGATAAACGGTAGCAGAAAAACGTTTTTAATTTTTAAAAAAAAAAATATTTGTCAACATTTTAAACGTTGTTGAAAAAAAAAAAAAAAAAAAAAACCCGTCAACTAAAACGATTAAAGATTTAACTTTAGACCGACGTTTTATTTAGATAATCGGATATTTATCAAAATATCCGAAACGAGTCCGGTTTAATCGGAATGTAAATATGCTCGTATAAGTCGTATGATAATATTTATTAGTTTTGTAATTCTGTTTAAAATCCGAATACGACTAAAACAATTGATAATAGAATAGGTACTTTGATAATACATTAAAATTAATAATATGTGTCAAAACACTTGCATTATCATACGCAATATATTGCAAAGGAAATGAAACGAACGGCCGGTTATATTGGCTATTAATATATTAATGTATTTGTATTTTGTACCAATGTATTTTCGAATTTTGTTCATTGCATCCCGAAAACTGTCTAAATTTGGGAGAATGTGATACCCGCATCCATATGTACCGTCTCCGTTTCACATATTTTGCACGTTTGTACGACCTAACAAATTTACGTTCGGCAGGGATAACTTTGTGCTGTTATTTAACTTAAAGATACGAACATTGACTGTGCACCGTGGGCGAGATTTGTTCGGTATTTTAATTTTCATGTGACATATATGCATTAGGTATTAAATGTTTTCAATTATTGTAATATTTCACGTACTCCCATCTCTCTTAAAAATTAAAATATCGAAAAATAGCGTCGAAATTTCACAGATATTGTTATTGTATTTAAGTTTGATAATGAGTAAATTCACTATAATATTAAAATTAATAGCGCAAAGTAGTTCCTGCTGAACACAAATTTGCTATGATGTTGGTACACGTTTGTAAGACCACTTAATAATGAGGTGGGAAAATAAATTTCGCTGATGAATATTAATACAAATGTCAATTAAAATAAAATATTAAAAACAATAAAACGCAATATTAACTGTAAACAATCACTTTTACACAAAAATGCGATGCGCATATCGTGTAATATACGAATGATTACATTTTTCCCGCTAGTAAAATATTAAAATGACAGAACACTCGAGAAACACCTGTGAAAATTGAAAAATTACATATCCTACGCGAAATGTGTTTACTGCAGCTTTCAAACAAGATTATTTAAAATAAAGTGTCAGACAATAAAAAAAAAATAATAAAAATAATAAATAGTATGTCTAAAGACGACGTTTCACTGGAAATTTAATAATATAAAATACGTGCCTGTAGGGAGGCGTTATGACTTCAATTTTCCTCCTCCATCCTGGTAACGTCTTCGACAACTACTTACTTTCGATGTATTTGAAAAGTATAAATTGATATCTTTATGAAATTACCTATTTTTTAATATCGTAAAACATAAATGATTTTTCAATTTTGATGTCATATTTATTGATTTTTTTTCTATAGCAGAATGGTGGTCTTATAATATAATGTAAGTGAACCAAATTGAAAATAAAAATCAATTTTTATATTAAATCCCAAATGTAACAAAAACGCTATTTTAGTGTTTTATTAAAATGTGTTTTTTTTTCGCGGAAAACAGATCTTCGATTCGTAAAACCACTCGAATTTTTTAAAAGATGTGAATTTTATATATTATATAGATTACAGTCTGTTATTCCATAAAGAATTAAAAAACCGACAACAATGATACAACAGTTTTTGTTTTTTATAAATTCCGGGTTACCTTGACTACGTATACAAAATTAAGATGCGAAGATAGTGTAAAAGCATATGTAGGGAAAGTTAGAAAGTTAAACCAGTAATGGAATGGAAGGAAATATCTGGAAAACTATAGGAAACAAATCGTCTGGATGATAATGGTCTTAAAAATCGAACCCGCGATCGAAGAACAAGATAATATAGAACTAGGAGAAAAACACGACTTATATACTGATAACTTTACCGGTGTCACAGTATTACCTCGGTAGGTATAAATCGCCTGTAGGAAAAATTGCCGACAGTAACAGGCGATTTGTACCTCGCATGTATGAATACCTCGGTAGATATGAATCGTCAAAATTAGATAATGATTTGTATCCTTATAGATAGATACACGTAACTTCTTGTCACCGCACATTAACGCTGACCGTCGTAGATGAATATCACGTCACAGGAATGATAAATAGTTAAATTATTTGATATTGCTATTTTAAATAAATCAATAAACCGAAACATTATCTATACATTTGTTATAAATACGAGTTTATACAAATTATGTATAACAGGGATATTTATACAGAAAGGACAGCGTCACGTTCACAGGCGATCGAACTCATTCAATTGTCAAAAAATAAACTTCTAAAATTATACAACGTGTTTCGGATTTCCAAATCAGTGGTATATTTAATTATATAGATATTTCAAAATAAAAATATAAGTTATAATTTTATTTTGTAGGTTCTGTTATACTCATGCCCCATATTTCATTTAACTTTACCTGTGGTTGGTCATATTTTATATTATTACCTACTTTTGGCGGTTTTTATCCACCAAGGTAATAATACATGTGGGGTACCGAGATTCATTCAGAATCGTTTTTTGATTACAATAGTTTATCGTTGCTTCCAGTAGGTATATGTAAATTAAATTACTTTAAATTTCTATGTAATAAACGTTCCAAAATTCCCAGCTACAATAGAATTGGCCTACCCACGGTGCAAAGTCATCGCACGTAGACAAAAAAACAAAACAAATTAAAATAGGTCGTACACCTACAATCTACATTATTATAGACTTTAAATTCTTAACCTATTGACTTTCTGAGACGTTTCTTTTTGTCCTAAAAATTTTACTAGATAGTTACTTATTTTTGGGTAATTTTTTTTCAAATTTTTATATGATATGATTTGTTTTGAATATTTAATAATAATTGATAATATTTCACAAGATTACAGTTTCCGGTTAATTTAAAAAGTAACCCGCCTATATTAAATTAGGAAATCTCATGAAATTGCATCAAAGCTGGACAGCTAATTAAAAGGTTAAGTTACAAGTTTTAATAAACATAATGTTAACTTTACTTAGTAATTTGGTTAAAATTTGAGCTAGTTAAAGTTTATTTCTGAATTTAATTTTCGATGACATTGGCGTAGGTACTAGGTATTTCGTAAATACCATTATTGCATAATAAAATAGCCATTTTAAATTAAAATATATTCCGAAATACGTTTATGAATGCTAAAAAAGCGAGTTAATAATTTTCTGAAATTCTGTAACTTAACTTCATTATTCTAATTCATTTACATAATGCTCTGTCTTAAGATTCGAATCAAAATTGATACATCCGCCGTTTTTCTCCGTTTACACATATACAGACAGTGATTTCATGAATGAATGTCCGACTTTAATAATAATTACTCATGACTTCCTGACTTTCTACATTCAATTTTAAAAAAAAAATACTTATATTGACTTACAGAAGTTAAAGTAACATATACCTATCAAGCTCGCAGGGCTTACCGGAGCGATCTAAGACAAGTCGCTATAAATATTTCGACGTTTAAGAAAGGTGAATGAATAAAACAAACAAAAAAAAAAAAAATAAAAATGCTATCCAAATCCAAATAGGTTTTACAATTGAACAATTATTATATTTTACCTACATACTGTGATACTTAAAAATCAATCGTTTATTTTAATATTTTGTTGTAAATATACTTATCTCAGGAAAAAGTGAAAAATTTCAAAAAAAAACAAAAAACAAAATAATTTTCTTTTTTTATAATATGTATTCATAATGTATGTACGTTCAATATCAAAGACAAGTAACAATAATTATTGTTGATTTAATTTTTAACTGACGTCTTTTTATTAGGTAAGGTATTGCCTACCAATATAATAGACAATGCAGTTTATTGGCTGAATCAAAGAATAATATTGTTAAATCGAAATAATTATTAATTATCGCTGATTTTTTTTTTTTTTAATCAATCTAATAATAGGTAGTACACCACCTACCTATGCGTAACGATAATATTTTATTTGTCTATTGCCTGATTCATCGATTGGGTTTAATGTTTCGTGTATGAAAAATATGAATTTATCGAAGCAAGTATACGTATACTGGACTAAATGACCGACTTGGGTTATTAAATCGTCGTTACAAAACCAAATCGATAGGCACCTAATTAAAAATCTAATTCGTTGTAAAAATAGAACGTTCGTATTTTATAGTATTATATGTTATGTGCGCCGCGATCGAACAATCAAAATTAGAACGTAGTTTGTCTAAAGTCCGTTTAAACAATCTAATAAATAATACAGTATAATTACTGTAAGTTAAATGCTGTTTTGTTATTAAATGGTAGTATTTCGAAGAAGAATATTATCGGGCCTCGTTAACAGTCGTTAACATTTGTTTTTCCTATTATACCTCTCGCGTAGTGTAGCAACAAAAGCATTCGGCATTTCCACGATTCTGACCCTCTGCATTTTATGCATTTTATTCACTACTTACTTTTGTAGTATTTTCATTTTGCATAATTACAAGTTAAATTAAAGAGAAAATTAATTTACGTATATCTTCATAAAAAATTTAAATATACAAATCAGTAGTAGGTGAATAAGTTGCCGTAGCATTTCGTGGAAATACGCAATAACTTTGTGTTACATTACGCGGGAGACAGACAGAGAAAACAAATGTTAGTGACGACTGACGAGGTCGTCACAGCATTTGCTGTCTATGTCTTCATTCTAACGGGAAAAAATAAAGTAAACATGTGTTTTCAGAATAATAACGGTAGATACTCGAAAACCTATTATATTTTTTCATGGGAGGATTTTGTTTAAATATTGGAAATTAAAAACCAATTTTTTTTTGTTAATGATAATTTAACATTTTAGATTCTAAGTAGAGCGAAGAAGCTTATGATTTTATAAAGATGTTTATTTTTATTTTATTTTTTTTTTTTTAAAAAGACTTAAACTAAAAAGACCAGAAGACTTGCTCGGATTTCTACGTGTAGCATTTTTTCTGAAAGGAAAGCGGCGTGAGGAGGTACTTTAAGAGGATGTCATTTTTCGATTTTCTCAGAAGTTTCTCAGTCCATGAACACGCTTTTTCCTAGTAAACTTGCTCCGATTTTTATGTGGAGCAACTTTTATGAAAGCTCATGTTGTCTAGATCGTCATTTTTTGATTTTCGACACTATTTTTTAAACAAAAGCATCTTAAGTGGGAAAAAACATGGGAAAACGTACAATTTCACGATTTCATTATTTTATAAAAACATGTACGACGTTTTCTACAATGATTTAATCGAAAAATCAAAGAATACCTTTTGTGTTGTCTTTTTGATTTACTTTTTTACGGTATCATCGCTAAAACTTTTGAGTCACTTTTAAGCTTTTAAGGAATTTTAATTTTTGGTAGTTTTTTCTGTAATTCGGTTATAAATACACGTAAAGATTTGAAACTTGATAATAATACTTATATAAAACTTACCTAGACGTGGTAAAATTTCCAAAAACATTGGACGACTTTTTTGACTCATTTAAATTTTTTTAAAATGGTACTTTATTATTATTTTTTGTTTTTATATACATTCTGTAAACCACTTTTATCCTAGAAAATTTGCTCCGATGTATAAGCGTAGCACTTTTTTTTGAAAGTCAATTTTATCTACTTGATAAATACAAAGGTCATTTTTTGATTTTCGAAATGGTATTTAAAATAAAACGATTAACCGGGAAAAATTACAAGAGACCATATTTTTCTTGAATTTTTTTTTTTAATAAACGTTTTAAAATAAAATTTAAACAAAAATCACAAAAAAAATTACGGTACTTCAGATTGTGTATTACCGAACTGCGCTTGGAATTGTCTTTCGTCAGCAATGGCTTATCGTTGCTTACAAATATAAATGAAATAACCTTGTGTATCCTACCTTTCCAACTTCCCACCTACAACAATGGCTGCACCCGTTTCCAGTATTAGCTCTTTTTTATAATGAAAATATCATTTAAAATATGCAACGGTAAATGATTGTACACGAAAAACCATTATGGGCGCAGTTCGGTTAAATATGTTTTGATTAACTTAAATTTATAATTGCATTAATTCGTAGCTGTACAAAATTAATTAAAATTAAATTCTCGGTTTTTTTTTTTTTTTAATACTTAACAAATTGTCGAATATTATTTAGGAACCACACCAATTTTATCCACATAAATCGGAAGTGATATTATAGTACGTAAATGTCATGATTTTTATGATTTTTAACAAAATTCTTTCAAACGATTATACGAAAAATTAGTTCATTATGCTCGACTTTTTTTATTTAATACTACAAGTGCAACAATTATATAATATTAATCTTGAATGAAATTTCCGAACATTTTTGCTAAGACAAAAAAAATTATTCTCCACGTATTAATTGGGAAATAGTACAAGAATATAAAAATATAACCAACAATATTATGTTATACTTTTAACTAGGTATAATAACAATGGTAAAGTATAAAATCAATAATTTAAAAGGTTTTGGAAACGTATATAATATAATAAAAGTTTGCTGTCGTGCGTTAAAGATTTTAGGCTTTGTTATTCGCACGTCAAAATAATTCAAGCTCTCTAGTTCTCTTTAAGCTGTGTACTGCTCTCTTATACGATCTGTTTTGGAGTATTCTTCTATTCTTTGAAATTTATATACTGAAGCGGACTTTTCTCTTGTTGAGCGAGTCCAGAGACGTTTTTCTTCTGTTTCTTTCATTTTAGAAATTCCTCACCCACCTCATGACTATAGCCCAGTAATGAATAAACTTGATCTTACGTCTTTAGCAGATAGAAGAGTTGAAGTGAATTTGGTATTTTTGCGTAAGTTGATTGATGGTCGTCTAGATGCTTCCTTTCTCCTTTTTTGAATAAATTTCAGAGTTCCTACTCACTCAATCAGATGTTATTCTTCTTTTGCTATTCTTTTTCACCACACCAACTATGGTAAAAATAATCCCATCTATCGTATGATGCGTCTAGCTAATGAGCACCTAAGCTTCTCCTAGATTGGTTATTGTACTAGTTTTTTGGTTCATTACTGCCACCTGTTTTTAATATTATTTTGTCTGCAACTATTTATTGTGTTATATTATTATATTTTTTTTTTAATAAGTTTAATTATTTCTATACATTGTTGTAATTTAATATACTTTTATATTGTGTTATTTACTGTCATATTGGGCACCTAGCCCTTAAATCATATACAAATATAAATACAAATACATAATGTTTTGATAATATTTGAATTTTTTAAAAACATTTTGTTTTTTCCAGGACTGTGTTATTCCGAACTCGCCAGCAGAATTCCCAAAGCGGGATCGGCCTATTCATATGCTTACATCGCCGTTGGCGAATTAGCAGCTTTCATAGTTGGATGGAATCTCTTACTCGAATACACGATAGGTATAAATTACATTACAAGATACTTACAATATTATTCAAACTAAAGATTACGAGAAAAATGATGATCAAAATCAATTTTAGATTTGTTTAGATATTTGTTATTTTTCCTCATCCTATGATCTTGTTTTACTCGTCACAGCATACTTGAAGTACAGTAAGTATAGAAAATGTCGTTCGATTAAAGACTCAACATCCAAACATTTATTTAACATAGGAATAGATAGAGTGTCACAGCCCTAGTCATAGGTATTTTTTAAAACTCTGTGACATGGCCTATACTATTTTTTCGTAAATTCTATTCATCCATTTGTACATCAATTCGTTCAAGAACAAATTGCTATATAATAGACATGCATAAATATACATAGAATGCAAACATAAATACATACATAGATGTCTAATATCAACTGTTAATGCCTTTAATAACTTATTAACCTAATTATGTGTAATTTCTATACTATAACTTATAAGCTATTGTAATTTTATATTTTTACAAATTCATTTTTGGTAATGACTTCTGTTATTTCAAATGTTTAATGTTGTATGTTCAAAAGGGCCCAGCCCCATATAACTAAAATAAAATAAAATAACTGTAACTACTGTCTTCATTTTGACGATCAATTGGTTATGATCGTTTTCCTCCGCAGCTCTTCAAATAAATATGTACGTATCTATATCGAAATATTTTAGAATCACATGCCACATGCCACATGCTACATTAATGCATGTAGCAAGTATAGTTTATCTATACATTTTTTATACGGACTTATTAATTGAGGAATTCTATGTTTGATATCGTAAGCCTAAAATGTTTGTTGATTTAATATTATATAATTAGAGTGGCAGTCTGATAAATTTTTATAAAATCGGTGATAACGAATTTAAACTTGATATCAACTATTATTCATCTACTTTAATATATTTTTTTTTATGCATTAATTTAATTTTCGACGATAAATAGTTTTATCTCTTTCATAATCATTTCATATAGGAACGAGTGATTTTTTTTTTCATTATTTTGTCATGAAATTCAGCACTAATATACAGTTACACATTTTTTTGAAAAATATTTGTATCCTGCGTTGTTTTTCCGATGAAGTAAAGACAATAGATACTTATAGAATTTTTGTCCAATCGTTGTCAGTTCTTGAAAATGTATTTTAAAAATAGTACAAATTCATCGAAATCCCTAATCATCATTAGTAATATAAAACAATTTGAAATGTGTTCTTGGCATTATGTAACGGCGTGTTTTTTTTTCGTTAAACGTAACCGATTTAGTTCAGTCAATACATAATGACATTTGATTATAGACACCGTCAACTTTTGAATTAATTTTATACGTAATACATATATTTGATTATAGCTTATAAGTATCCGGACTCTTTCTTTTTTTTTTATCGACCATCCTTTTCAGATACTATATCATATATTAAACCTCAACACTGTAGGTTTCTTGTTAGGCACATCGAGAACAATCGGATTTATAATCCAATTGAACATCGGGTTTATTAAACGTTACATCATTTTTTTTATCTTTTCTATTTTTTGATTATGATTGACGAACTTTGACGAGTCATTAATATTTTTTGGGTACACGTGATGTTAATTTCAATCACCTAGCACCCGAATATCGTGAATCAAACCGCATCTGTATCGAATATCTGTGTTCGCAGTGTATAACTATAATATCTACTTGGGATTATAATTTATAATATTAATTAAAAAATTTAAGTTTTTCTGTACATCGATAACATTGCCATTGCACATTTGTAATCTCTTGATTGAATAATATTATTATTATTTTATTTTTTTTGCTGAGTATAAGTAATTTAGGCTGAAATCACTGCCCCTCTCCATGTTTCTCGATTTCCTCTATTCACCATTATTCATTCCTAATATATTTATATCTTTCTGATTTCTATATATCCATTTCTGTCTTTCTTGGACGGTCCAGTGGTTTTTTGATTTTGTGACTTCCATGATTAGTTGTCTTTCTACACATGACCCGCTCAGCTTATTTTCCTGAATTGTTCTATCATCTTACTTCCTGGTTGTCCTTCAATCCTTCGTTCATATTCTCTGGTCTCTCCAAGGACCAACTCTAATTTAATTGAAAATATATAACTATATTATACCGATTATATTAATATTGTTTATTTATATTGTTTATTTATTATACAGGTGGAGCCAGCGTGGCCAAAGGTATGAGCCTGTACTTAGATTCGCTGGGCAACAAGACGATGGAAACATTTTTCAGGAGCATATACGAAATCGACTTGCCGTACTTATCACAATATTTCGATTTTACTGCGATGTTCATCGTTTTTATATTCAGCGGTAAACAAACAAAAAATACATTTCATATAATATCGATTTTATGACATAATATAGACAATCGCATCATGTTGGTACTTACTAATATTAATTATAGAACAAATTTTAATATTAATCGTAAAAATAAATACATATTGAATTTAATGAACTCTATAATAGTTACCATAAAAACGTGATTTGGCTTTCAGACTTCTAACAGCCAATACAAACGGATAATGAATATATAATTTAATTTGTTCAATACGATCTATTATGATAAGGCTAACCAGAGGTTAAAACGTATAAAAAAAGTAAAACCAAAAACGATAACGAAACTTGTATTTTATACACAATAATTTAAACGTGCAATTTTACAGATAGTACGATAACGTGAAGATTATGTACAGATATATTATGTAAGCAAAGATAAACTATTGCTAACGAAAATCGATTCGGAATGAAGTTCGGTTATACGCTTATATGTTTTTAAAGGCCGTAATATTTACGATTTTCATCAAAATTTGATATTAAAACTCTTAAAAATAAAAAAATTTAAAAAAAATACTACATTACAATTAATTTTTTTTCACAGCTAAGTACAATTTGTAATTAACCTTTTGTTAAATTGTCAAGCATTTCTGTTTGGTTACACGATTTTATCTGCAGAGTACCTACTCTAAAGTACCTACTAAATAAAAATTACATAAAATCTGGCAAAATTAAAATGTCTATAAATAGCTCAACAATTGTTAAAATGTTTTGAACATTTTACCAAATCTTAAAAGGCAAATATAATTTTTCTATCAATTCAAATTTCAAGTCTCTACGAATATTTTTAACTGAAATCATTAAAAAAACAAAATGTAAAATAATAAAATAATTATTTTCGTGAATTGTTCTGTTCTTTTTACGTTTATTTCAGTTTTTCCTAACTATTAATAAAACTACAAAGAAAATCAAAACACGGTTTTCTTACTCACCAATTAGATTAAAAGTTCAACAAAAAAAGGTCTCTTGTATTTTTTCTATTGAGCTGTATTTAATGGTAGAAAACATCATGTATACAAATTTAAATGACAATTGGTAACGCCGGAAATATTTGCTGTTTTACCTATAATTATCTTTCGGGTTTTTCCTAATTATTTTGAAAATTTAAAAATAACCTTTAATTGCACAAATGAGATAAAATTTTCCTCCAGAAGAGGTGCTACACTTGATGAATAGGATCAAGTTTTCTTTTCGAAAAAATATTTAAAAAACACGGTAAAACCAATAGATTCCTCGCTATGCTTCGAATCTAAAAAAACAATTACTCATCAATATCTTGCAAATTTGTTAGTATTTATTCTCACAGGTTTCCCCAATTTTCAATTTAGTTTTAAAAACTACTTGTAACTCCATATGCTACCTATATACCTAAGGTTCAACCTACGGTCATTTACACAACACTTTTTTGTTTTAGAAAATTATAGTATCTGTGACTATTTGTTCATCTGCCAGTAGAGAATTGAAGCTAATTTTGTGTAGCTAAGTGGCTTCAAGTATCTTTTTGAACAACTAGTCTGCTATTTTTCTAGTTGATGTCTGAACATCGATGCATTGTGTATAAACGGCTATACTTTATTCGGGATAAGATTGAACCTCTCAAACGAAGAAAACGTGTCGCGTTCGTACATCTCTACCACTAGACTGCCCTTACCAATTGCGCTTATTCCCTGTAAATATGACGGTGGCAGCGACCAATCACAGGATGCATAATGCCAGTTATGAGGGTAGAGTATAGAGGGCCGGACCGGCGTGGTACACTGGTACAGTTATTCGGAACTAATAAGAATCATTTTCGGTTGCATATTAATATCCTTCACACGAAAATATAAAAGTCTACCCAACGTGGTTTTATATAACAAAACAGAGCTTATACTCTCTATTAATTTCATCCATTCGCTTCGCTTCGTCTAGGGCCTTTTATGTTTAAATATCTTAATATATTATAGTATTATAAATTATCGGTTAGTTATTATTTATCATTATCATTATTTGTCCATATCATGTTCGAATAGCTGTACCCATTGCGTCTGAATTCGTTCGGAAGCTCAGACTGCATGCGTGAAAGCAATTCATTCGTATCATGAATAGAGTATACCTAAACAAACAATTAATCCAACTAGCTGTTTTACTGTACTGTCTACAATCTACGGGTAGCCGAATATTCTTTAATACTAGAAAGACAGCGACCAGCTATTAGTACTGCTAGTCAACTTTAATAGCTAGTAAAAAGTATCGTGTAAATAATCTCCTCGCGAAAGTAATGTTGCTCCGTGAAAAACGTCTCTGAGGAAAAAATGAAAAAAGGGAAAGAAGTTCTAATCAAGAAAAATACCTACACATCACGAAGTTTAATCGTACATCTATATAACAATAATACACCACTCTCGATTCACTACACAAATTCATATTTTCAAAATCTGTCTTAAGTAAATATCAATGCAAATAATATACTTTTATTAAAGACAAATATAAAATAAATATACGCGTATATATTTCATAATACAAGTCAATAATAAAATACATCCGTTTTTCATAAAACGTGAGTTTTATGCGACTCGAGAGATAATAATAAATAATATTATTTATTCAAATAATCTGTTTTAAATTGAAATACGTTGGTTTACACAATAAATTGTTCATTGTTAGCAGTGAAAATATTTTTATTGTATTTTCTATGTAATATAATTAAATAAATAAAGGATGTTTTTTAAGATATCTATAGCGTTGAAAAAAAATCCAATAAATTGATAGTTAACAAAATGTAATAGTAGAAATATATAGGGAGATCCGACAATATTGTAATTATATATTATGTTAAAAATTGTGATATATATATATATAATATTTTAGTTTCTAAGCGAAGCAAGGAATGTGTTGGTTTTACAATGATGTTTATTTTTTTTCTGTAGACAACTTTTCTACCAGCAATTTCGCTTCAATTTATATAGTATAGTACTTTTTCTGAAAGGAAATCTAACTGGGGTGGTACTTTAAGGAAATTATTGTTGGAAAATGTACGAAATGTATTAATTTCAAATCGTAAATACTATGGCCTTTTAAATTATGCGTAACCGATTTCCGCTCTGAATCATTTTTCGTTAACAAAAATTAATCGTTGCATAAAGATATATATTAAATTCCCCTCTATAAATTTACAACAATAGCCCACCCATTGTGCGAAGTATAAACATCATTTTTATTTCTTTTTAAATCAGATAAAACCAAAAAATATAACAATGATAAAACATAAACCAATGCGGTTTTAGTTATTTTTTTTATTTAGAAATCACATTTAAAATATTTTTGCAGTATTCGAACTCTCAAATTTCTATTTAAATTATTTAATTTAAATTAAACATCTATTTTATATGATAATTGATAAACGATGTTACTTTCAATTAATCACTATAGCAATAATCGCAATGAAGAAATAGTAAAAATTAATACTCGACATTTTTTGAAATAACCGGTTTGAAAATATATTTTCAAAAGACTAAGAATATGAATTTAAAACGTAACATTTTATAATTTTTTACTGTTTGAGATCAAAGCACAAAACATTATAAAAAAAATAATTGAAATATTTTTGATTATTTCAAATTCAAGTGTATCGAAGAAAATGTACTCTAGTTTTTTCTCCCTTTAGTATAGATATAATTGAATACATATATCATCATAAAATCTGAAAAAAACTATAATTTTTTAATTTTAATTATAAATGACGTTATGAAGTCAATTTTCTCATTTACCCGTTTACGAGAAACATCTGCATACCTTTTTAATAATTCGAACGTTTCTACAATAAACTCGGTTTTAATAAAACTGATAACATTTTCCTACACATTTACATTTGCCATCACTTGTAACCTCTATATTAATTTATGTTTTATTGCATTAATTAATATAATGGCTAAATTTAAATATCGACCTTATATTCGTCGAATTACATAAGATTAGGTATTGATCGTATGTTCAAAAATATAATCCCACTCTTAATGAATGAAAATAAAGGCATAGTAATTTTTATTATTTTTTTTGCAAACTTATTATAACAGCATACGAACATAATTTAATCATCCCATGGTTTGATAAAATTACATTTTAACTTGACCTTATAAAGATAATTTAGATTTATTTATATGGACACATTAGTGAAATAATTGATCTATACAGTGTTCCGCGACTGTGACGCATCTGAAGCTCATTTAATTCTTTGACGGTTATACTATATTAAGTTCTGAGTGGAGAGAGGCATGTATTGGTTGTACAATGGTGTTTATTTTTTTTCTGTTAACAACTTTTCTACCAACAATTTTGCTCCGATTTTCAAGTGTAACACTTTTTCTGGAAAGAAATCTAACTGGTGTGGTACTTTTAGGAGATCGTTTTTGATTTTTCCAGGGGTTTTCATAATAAATGGGAAAACCAGGAAAAAATGTAGGAAGAACCGAAAGATTTACGATATGTATTATTTTTAAATCGTAAATATTACGGCTTTTCAAAACATGTATAACCGATTTAACTCAGAATTATTGTTTTTCGTTAACAGTGATTAATCGTTGCGTATAGATATACATTCAATTTTCCCTTTACCTTCCCAACTTTTCACCTACAAAAATTAGCCCATCCAAAGAATAAATGTATTGTATGACGATAAGAAAGGCTAGTCATAGCAATTTCATATATATATAGTTGTTGGTAAAAAAGTACAACCTAACAAAATTAAATTTAATATAACCTGATGTTAATAACTGTTTTTTTCATCAGTGTTATCAAAGCAACCCATAAGTTAATAAAAATGATTAGTTTTCTACCAAAAATACTTTAAACCGTTTGGAAGGGATGGGGTAGGTAGTGGGAATATCGATATATACTAAAAGTAGCCTATGATACTTCACGGATCTTGCTGAATCAATAGACGCACAATTTTAATGAAAATCTATCAGGTAGTTCCAGCGATTAACACCTACAATCTTACTTTTTCTCTTCTTAATAATATAGATTTTAAAATTTATCTTTAAATATATACTGAAATTTTCTAGTTGCACGTCCTACCCACTTTTGGTTCTAATTTTCCTATATGTAATGTAATATTATGTTTTTTTTTTCAGTTGGGCTGGCTTGTGGTCTCAAAGATTCGGTTCGTCTCAACAATTTGTTCACGTTCCTTAATTGTGCAATTATGGTTATTGTCATCGTCGGCGGTTCCTTTCACAGTACGATAAATTATTTATATTTTCTCCTGCAAAACGGGGTATAACCGTTATTTTTTTTTCTAGTCAATTTCAAAAACTGGTCATTGCCCAAAACGTCTGTGCCTAATTGGGCCGGGAAAGGAGGCTTCTGGCCATACGGATTACAGGGTGCCTTGAAAGGTGCATCCACGTGTTTTTATGGGTACGTTGGTTTCGACTGCATAGCAGCTTCCGGCGAGGAAGTGAAAAACCCGCAGAAGGCATTACCGCTGGCCATCATATTGTCGCTTTTTATCGTGTTTCTCGCCTACTCTGGCGTGTCGGCCGTCCTCACCCTCATGCTTCCGTACTACGCACAAGTCAGTATGATATTTCATTAATAATAAGTGGAAAGAGGGAAACAGAACGCGGGGGTAAGGGAATTAGGAAATACATCTTAGCGCGTAACAATAACCTTGAGATTAAAAAACAACAGGTATACTTTGCATGATGGGTGGGTCACTGGTATAGCTGAGAATTTGGGAAGTTCGAGGGGAAATTGAATATATATAACATGTATAAAACGATTAATCAATGTTTAATGAAGCAATGGCTAACTAAAAACGATTTTGAGTGGTGTTAGGTTGTACATGTTTTGAAAAGCCGTAATAATATTTACTTTTTGATAAAAAAATAAACATCTACAATGATGTTTAATTTTAATCCAATACATTTGTCGCTTCGATCAGAATCTAAAATGTAAATATATGTATAGGATCCAGACATGCCATTGAGTCATGCGTTCGATGTCATCGAATGGCCGTTGCTCAAATGGACAATCGGGGTGGGAGCAATTTTCGGAATGTGTGCCTGGTAAGCGTGGTATATAAAAATTACGTACGCTATAATCTTTAAAAACACCCATTAACGGATTTTATTAACGATTTTAGCATGTTCGGTTCCATGTATCCACTGCCCAGGATTCTATACGCTATGTCAAACGACGGTCTCATATTTAAGAGTCTAGGAAAAGTACATCCCAAGTTCAAGACTCCATTCTTCGGCACAATATACGCCGGACTGTTAACTGGTAACTAACTATAAACATACCACGATTAGATTATTAAATTTCGTAAAAAATATCGTGAAGTTTTATAATCGCCCAATCTACATCAAGAAAAAACTACTGCCCGTTCAGTTTGTATACAACAGTCATGTTTTTATGTTTTGTTTTACTGTTCTTTAGGATGTCTATCGGCAATATTAAACCTCAAGCAACTAGTGGACATGATGACGATAGGTACCCTGCTCGTATACGTCATGGTTGCGGTATGCGTCCTGTACACTAGGTATATTTTATAGTTACGTTTGAATTCATCCACTGATTATGCGACAGGTTCAAAATTATAACAGGTAACATATTCTTAAATCCGCAGGTACCGAGAACCCAACGACAACGACCACGAGATGCTAGCCGACGAATACATCGAATCCACAACGCTAACCACGTTGCAAGTCCAATACACAAAAAAACAAGTGCTCAAACAATTGTTCAATTTAAATCGGTTCGTGCGATCCAACAGCCTCAGCAGTTACGTGGCGTCTTTTCAGACCACGTGTTTCAGTAAGCCAAAAAAACAGACATTTTAAACAGACCCAACAATGAAAAAATAAAATCACAATATCCGTTAATATGATCCCCCACTTTTTTTTCAGCCATACTCTGTTTGCCACTCGGTCTCTACCTGAGTCATTGGTATGAGCTGGACCGTACCAATTGGATAATCGTACAGGGTTTGATCATTGTGATGTTTATACAACTCGTATCCATCTCTATGCAACCGGAGTCCAAAACACCAGTAACGTTCAAAGTAAACATTACACTTTTTATCGACAACGTTCCATTAAATTACAATTGTGTATTCAACGTCGAAATCGTTATATTTATTTTTTGATACTTTTAACAGGTGCCGCTCGTACCACTCACGCCAGCACTGAGTATATTTATAAACGTTTATTTAATGTTCTTTTTCGACATCTACACTTGGGTGAAGTTCATAATTTGGATGGTTATCGGTTAGTAAATTTGATCAAATACTTTACTTGATTACATCAAATACGCATGGTTAATCAATCATTATTGTTACGCACACTGTCGTATTTATAAGATTTCGATTTTTTTTTTTCCAAAATCACACATTTCAACATTTGTGAAAACTGATAAAATCCAGCAAAATGTATACCTAAACTATACCTGTAATTGATAATACTAGTGTTTATGCATTAAGTTATGTTTTATCAGTTTGATGTTAATAATGTTATTACATTTTTTCCATAGGCATCGCAATTTATTTCGGTTATGGCATCAGACACAGCAAAGAAAACAATCAGAATATAAATATTGTAAACACTAGCTTGTCGAAATCATCGTTAAACGTAGATTAAAATAATATAAATACCTATAAATTTGCTTGTTTTTATATGTATGATGTATATATGTATAAATATACGACACACCTACATGTATACAAATTGTACGATATTAATATAAATAAATATTTCTGTGTGTGCAATAAGTCACACAATGTTTTTTTTCTTTTTTGTATTTTTCTTTAAAAATATTAAATAACATTTATACAGAAATAAAACCTATAATTACCTATCGCTTATGTTGTTTTTAAAAATTGAATTACAACTAAAAACACGAACAACTAAACACAATTTTAACTGTTTTAAAGATTGTATTTTACAAAATGCATAATTTTATAAACATATTTTGGTGTTACTGTTACAAATATTTACTAATGATACAGTTTCTATCAATCGATTCACCAATTTTCTTCAATGAAATTGTTCAAAAAATAATTGTGTTCATGATTTTTGTAAACTACAATAAATTGTAGAAAATTAATTATTCATCATTAATAAATATTTGTACTTCCAATTTTATTTCAAAATCACAAATAATAAAATAGCTATCTTGGATTAAATTTTTTTTAATCATTTTTTATGTTTAGTTTAAAAAAATATATATAAAATTAAGAAAATTAATAAAAACCTTGAAAATATTAAATAGAAAATAAGTTATTTCAGATGTCAGATTTTCGTGTTACATTCTTTACATATTATTTAAAAGTGTTTTTTACTTGATCACAAACCTACATTGAATTTCTTATGCGATAAATGAACCAATCGTCTCGTCTGCAATTATTTGATGACCACTTAAAAAAATCAATAATTGTTTTCGATCGATTTTCATAGTAACCATATAAATTAATTTCCAGCAGCGTCTTCTCGATAATGTCGTATTCGTATATTTAAATGTCGACTTTGACCCTTTTTTTTTTTCTTAAAATGAATAAAGCGCTGCCGTGTAGTTCTAGAGTATAGACCGTCACATTAACGTAGGACTACGGAGTGTTGACTATACAAGTGATGATGAATTAATTTCATTAAGGTTCAAGTATTGTTTTTCTCTTCTTACATAACGGTTTACCCTCACAAACGTAATACTTAATCAAACAAAAACATTAGATTAAAACATATTTAAAATAGGTTTGCAGGTTATTGGGTCAGTAGTATATAAATATAAAAGACAAAAGACGAGAATATTTGAATGGTTCGTTCACATATGTCCGTGATGATTTATTTTGGTGTATCTATTCAAACATTATGAAATCGGTAAACAATGACGACATCAATATTGCATACTGTACGTCAGTCTTTATACATAATTGTCAAGATAGTACATTTATGAAATACTCGTAAACCGTGAAGTTCGAAAAACGATTCTGATTGGCATGGGAATGAATGGTTTATGTTGAAAAAAATGTATAATTTCAGAACGCAATATTCCTAAATGTACGTGAAAAGTAATAAAACGGAGGCGTCTCGGTTTGGATAAATTGACTGGTATTTGACAACACCAAATTTAATTACTTTAAAACAATTATTTCCCCCACTCCCGGACATCGAACGGTATAGAAGAATTTAAATATTTTATACGTCGTGCATATGTCATTTGTGTATTACGAATACATTAAAATATTATCGGTGCGTTGTAAGTGTACTTTGTTCGTTCAAAACCGATCGTTGAAAATTTACAAATGGTATTTTTTTTTTATGTTGCAAAATTAGAAAGACAAAACTATTTTTCATTATATGTAGATTAAATGTGAGGGTGTGTATGTGTTATATTTTAGAGCGCCGAAAAATATTTGTCGAGGCTCGAAGACGAAGAATCGATAAAAGAACCATTGTCGATAGATCCACCGGTATGTTCGTCGTTTTATTGGAAAAATTACTTCGGAAGAAAACATAAGGTATTCATGCCCACCCCAAACCGACAGTTGTACTACAACTTGGAAGAATACGACGTGAAAGACATAAAAGACCTCGACCTTGAAGATCGGTTTGTATAGTACAGTTTACCTAATATATCACATATTTGTTATAAATGTTATGGTATATAAAACATAATTTAATTTTCCTATATTTTTAATTAAATTTTTCGAATATAAATTAATTTTTAATTTTTCTGAAATTCCTTTATAATGAAGTATAAATGAATTTACGGTCATATATTTGAAATTATTTTTATATGATAATATATGTATGTAACACACACATGTGTTTGTTTTTTATCGTTAACAAGAAGGAAAGAAGTAAAAAAATGTTTGTGCTTGGCCGTTTCGGACGAATGCGCCAAAGACCGATCAGTAATCACCAAGATGAATAAAGTGATGAAAAAAATCGGGAAACGAAAACAATTTCAAAAACACGAACTACCACAAACGACGGATGACTTTTCCGCGACTCCGGGAAACAGTAAATACTACACGTTTCTGGTTTACTCTATAAAAAATGTAAACGATTATGCAATCAGTTTGGAAAACAGGTACGTAAATTAATAATAAACGTCTCTATTATTTTCACATACAGTGGCGTGTAACCTCATACTTTGGTTATGCAAGCAAGATTAATTTTTACAACCACTTACCCCTATAATAAAACGACTGCATATATTTCTAGAAAAATATGTAAAAAAAAAAAAACCTATATCATCTTCTATACATCTGCTCATAGTACTCACTCAAATTTTCTTTTAGGCAATTATTTCAAAAAATCACCGTTCGACGCGCCACTGTTCGTATAGCCGATATGTTATAAAAATATCAGTTGTTTTTTTTTTTTCAAGATTCGAACATACGATATTTTGTGAACGCATATCGATTTCATCAGCCGAAGACAAACGAATCGGTGACGCGATCAATGCCGCTTTTCGTGCAGCCGCAAAACGTTTTGCGAACGATTCAAAACACGAAGTTTTCCATTATAACCGATACGATTGAGCGTTATCCACAACAATGATTATACAACAAAATATGAAGAAAAAAATATAAATTTATCGTATCGTTCGCATTATCAATATTACTGTGTTCAATTTTCCTTCGATTGCAGGCCAAAAAACTAAATTTTAAATACATTGTTTTGTATACTGTACATAAGCCATACGATTGACGAGTAAAAATATGAAACGGTTATAAAAACCAACATTTTGTTTTCAGTTTTAAAACGATATCTTAAATTCCCTTTTCAAGTTTACTCCACCCGAATAGTTCAAACACATTCTTATCAATTTTATCATTCCTAGCAAACTAGCCACTTTGCCTTGATCTTCCCGGGTATAATAATTTCATTGGAGTTTATTTAACCGAAAAGTCGCGAACATGAGAACGTGTCAATTTTATAGATCACAATAAATAGTTATAATAAGACTTATTATACTATTATTGCATTATAAGCATGCAGTATAGGTATTGCAGTATAGCGTAACATTTGAATAGATCGGATAGGTTTAAACAATATATGTAATCAAACCAAATGCGTATCTACGGTAAACAATTAGTTACAAGTAGGTCAATAAGTCGATTAAGCCGATACGACAAAACAGTTTTATTACTAGTCTAAACTGTTTTAAAAAGTTTTATTCGAACAAAATAAACGTCGCATGAAAAAAAATCAACATTTGGCCACCTACTCTAGGTAGGGGTATGAGGGAAATAGAGTTATATATTTCAAACAATATGTAATATGCACACACCGCACGCCTGCATAAAATACGTATGGTTGACGAGTGGGGGATCAAGAAATACAATGCAACTCGGTGCGCAGCTATTACTTCGAACTGATTTTAAAAAAATAAACGTTATCTACGTTTAATTTTGAGGTTTTTCCGTTGGTATTCTAATTTCTGTATCGAATGGTTGATATCATTTCATAATATATATATACTACATTTTTACCCGTTATAGTGAATTCATTCCTTTTAGAATTAACATGGCATTTTTTCTTTAAAAATGAATTCAGTAGAAAATCTTTTAAAAAAAAATTATCCCTTTATACAAATGAGAATAAACATGTTACATTTAGGGATGGATCCAGGGGGAGCCAAGCCCCCCCTCCAGACATATTATTTCTCAGAATTTTTTTTATAATTCTATAGATCCTAATATTACTATATTCCAATCACTGATGTGTATGATAAAAAAATATACATAATACATATTAAATTATATTATAATTGTATTTGTGTTATAAAAAAATTATTGTTCCCCCAAAAATCTTTGTTCTGGGTACGTGCCTGGTTACATCATATTCAATTCTTATTAATTATTAATTTGTGCACCGCCAATTTGTATTACCACGAGCCATCACTGTAAAATAATAATCAAATAGGCATTATATATTTTGTTTAATAATATTTATTTATTTATTTAAATAATTTTAAACGAATCAGGCCCAATTACAAAAGTAGTATACAAGAACAATCGTTCAACATTAAGATAAATATTAGATAATTGTAAAATATAAAGAAAAATAACATAGTAATATAGTTATAAAATATTATTAAAAATAAGATTGTAATAAGTTCTGAATAAGTGAAAGTTTGGGGAGGCAAAATAATCAATATTTAATTAATTAATGAATTACATTATTCTGTTACAGGGATATTTATAAGCGTAGTTTATTATTTCTATATTCAAATAAAATGTACTTTTAGATCGAGCACTAAATGTAGGAATACGAAAAGAAAAACGTGACAAGAAATCAGGACGATCTATTATTCCGGAAAAAAATGTGTACGCTAAGTATAAGGCTAAAAGTAATCGACGACATTCTAGTGTTTCAAGGATAAAAATAAACAATAGAGGGGAATATGAAAAGTGCAGATCCCTAGGAATGGAGCATTTGTAAGAAAGGAAGCGTAAAAATATTTGCTGTATTTTTTCCAATTTCGATTTATAATTTATTTAGTATGGGGACCATATAATTGAGTTATATTGATAGATAGAACGTATTAGTGAATAATATATGGATTTTAATGCATGAGAGAATGCCTCAGAGAAGTCAGCACAATTACGAATTAAAAAACCTAACATTTTGTTGGATCTAATAACAATATTGTTAATGTGGCAATCAAATTCAAATTTAGGATCGAACATAATAGATAGAAACCTTAACAGGAGCCATTGTAGCGTTTCTCCGTTGACATAGTAGTAAATGTGGTAAATGTGGTAAATAGTGGTAAATGTCATTACCTGTCATTGGTTTATGGTCGGAGTAAAGTTATTATTCGTACACCATGTATAAAAAACATTTATGTCAGATTAGAGTGAATCAGCTTCAAATCTGCAGTTATCTTTATGAAAAACTTTGATATCATCCACAAACATTAGTATAGAGCTATTTTGGCAAATCAATTTATCATTGATAAAAATCAGAAATAATATGGGTGATAGATGTGAACCCTGTGAACCACCTGATAAAACGTGAAACGGAGTAGACCAGTATTCTTTATAAACAACTATTTGATAATGATTCTCAATAATATAGACAATATAGAATTATTTAACATAACATATAATATCCACATAATATCAAAACTTCAAAAAACTATAATTTTGAAACTTAGTCCACTCAGTTCTGACTTCACCATCATTCATAAATCGGCAATATACATATGTTCAAAATAAAAAATTAAAAAAATTAGATGTGCTCCACATTATTTGCACAACTATTTTCGTCAAAATTTGATATTAAAATTCCTTTATAAAATAAATATTACACTGAACTCAATTTTTTTTTTTGTGACCATAAAGTAAGACTTTTAATCGACCTCCTATTAAATTTTTAAGCATTTCTGTTAAGTCTAACAATTTTACCACAGAGTACCTACCGAATAAAAATTACGTACAAAACTCGCAAAATTAAAATGTCTATTAATAGCTGGAAAATGGCTCAAATTTTTTAAAAATATTACCATGTTCAAAAAAGATAAATATAATTTTTCTGTCCAAATTTCAAGTCTCTTCGAACATTTTTACCTGAATAACAACAAATAACAAAACTGAAAAAATAATAAAGTACTTATTATTTTCGTAAATTTTCCGTTTTTTCTCACTTATTCCATTTTATTGGGAAAACTGTCTGGAAAATCAAAAAATTGACGTCCTAAAAGTACCACCTAGATAATATTTCCTATCAGAAATGGTGCCATTCGTATATATTGGAATAAAATTTCTGGTAGAATTCATGTATAAAGTATAAAAAAAAAAGAAAAATCATCTTTATAAAACTAATACATTCTTCGCTACATTTATAATCTCAAAAATAAGTAAGTAACATAAAAATATATATATAAATATTTTACATCAACCTTAATTATTTACTATTATTCTTATCTAAAAAAATAAAATATTTCTATATTCACTAAAGAAACCCGAAAGACTTGCATAACATCGTTCGTTAGGGATACATTCCAGCATTTTACATACATTCTCTCGCAGGGGTCAATAAACCATGGACGGCACTCGAGGGTAAAAAGGACGAAAACCAGTGCACTGCGTGAACCCCTATCTATAGGTTTACAGTATATATTTTGGTTGTGAATAGTCAGCTATTATCACTTTGATAATTCGTTCATCTCGACGGACTATTGTATTTTTTACACCTCTATTTTTCTTGAGTCCACGGCAATAATACACGTCTGGATGAACAGAAGTATTAATATCTCATTTAAGTTCGACTATACTTATCGTGCATATGAGTATGTCACGTTATTGCAGTTCGCAATCGTTTTAGTGCCGTATTACCTGATAATATTGCTTTAGAAATATTTATCGTTCACTAGCAACGTCAGCGAGTATTGTATTACATATATAATTTTTATTATAATATATGTATTTATTATGTAGTTTATTAAGCTGTAGGTTTTTATGTGCCTATATTTTTTGTATTATAATATTTGTATACCTGCATAATATCAGTGGGCGATATTAATATTTACATATTGTATGAACAACAATACCATTGCTCATATTAATTATTTTCCAAACGGTTATTTTTTTCATATATTGATCCAGCCATTTTATTGAATGTATTTTACGATTGTGATTGTACATCACAGTACCGTAGCCAGAGAAAAATTTTTTGAAAGGGAAGTACTTAATTTTTTTTATCTAGTTTTTATTAAACTTAAACTTATCAATGTTATTTTGTGACTCCCATATTCCATTATCACCTATTATTTATACCTTTTAGTTTTACAACGTAAAGTTCAAACAAAGTTGTAAACTTTTAAGAGAAAAAAATAAACGAATCATTAATTGTATAAAGGGGACATTTTTCTGAAACCAAATTTTACAGAAAGCACAAGAAAATTATCAAGGCAAAATTGAAAAGGAGCTAAGCGTACAAATAAATAAATCACATTATTATCCATCTTTTTAAAAATTATTTAAAAAATGGTACCTTAGGTTTTATTTAAAATATAATTTTTAAATATTTGAAAATGTCTTGATTAATTTAAGTGATTTTATTTGATTTTAACTAAGATCTATAACAATGTTGAAAATATGGTATAATACGTCCAATTCACTGATTTTTATAAGGTTTTATATCATTTTTGTAAATTTAATCATTCTTAAATATTTTGGAATGATTAAACTATCCCTATGTATCCTTAATTATTCATAGTACAATATGCATACCAATTTGTACGTGACTTTAGATATTGTATGTTTAACTAAAATTTATCTACTAAAATATTATTATTTTCCATTGATATTTTACTACTCAGATCTACAAAAAATTAAATAATTTTTAAAAATAATAAACTAGTTAATTATATATTTGATATACAAAAAGCTGAGTATTTAAAAGTTATAAAGTAAAAATTTAAGTTATAAGTTACTTTGTTACTAGCTTTTAATTATTTAACAGATTTAAATATAGAATTTTAGAAAACTGCCTAATTAATAACTTAGTTATTTCTCTTAATAAATAATTGTGACTTAAATGCGTACAAAATACTTCTGCATATAATTGTAAATAAGGGTTTTAATAAGCGAAAGGAAAAATAATAAGTCTTAAAGATCACATAGAAATTCGATTTTAGATTTTAAGTAGAACGAAGAACCTTATGGTTTTACAAAGATGTTTATTTTTTTTTCTGTGGACAACTTTTCTACTGGCAATTTCGCTCCAACTTGTAATGACAGCAATTTTTCTAAAAGGAAATTTCACTGGAGAGGTACTTTAGAGAGGTCATTCTTCGATTTTATCAGGAATTTTCTCAACTTCGTTTGACGTAGGTACCTACGTCAAAAATCAAAATGAAATTATTAGATTTATACTATAAAATTATTGTATCGATTATTATCAATACAAATATCGACTGCAATAATTTTAAAACAAACATACGGTTTTTTATATTAAAACAATGACAATATTTTTAATACATAAACATTTTTTCTGGGGCGGGCAGTGCGTCTACCGATCGATGGGTGGTAGCTGGGGTAACAGATATTTCAGGTCTGAAATCCACGACCCTCGCAACGGCACGTTCCGTGAAAATTTTTGTAAAATGCGTAGTTAGGTATTATATTAGATATCTTTTCTGTCTCGCAATTCGTTTTTATTGATTAAGTTACCCGAAGACAATATAAAAACTAAGTGAGTTTTCATCATATACTTGTCTGTGAACATTTTTTTTAAATTAAATTATCAAATTCAAATTACTGTGAAAGTAATTTCTCTCGGAAATTAAAAAAAAAAGAGAAGTTTTAATCAATAATACTGTAGTAGGTATTCAATATAATAATATACGTGACTGAAAAATTCCAAAAACGACAATGGTATTTTCTAACAGATTATAGTGTAATATTCTTCCTTGGTTTAATAAAAATGTATACTTTTACAATATTGCTAAACTGAACATTAGGTACGATTTTTTATAACTGAGAAAACTAATCTGAATATGATTATATAATATAATTAAGTATTAAGTCGTATAACATTTGTTTATTTAGTATTGGTAAGTTGGTTATTGATTTTTCCACAATCTGCACTCTAATGTATCTATCTATCTATAATAAATTATTATTATTTTTGTATTTTTTTTTTTTTGGCGCACATGTTTCGTATTATTTACCCATGTAACGCAACAAGTCACGTCATAGCGCGATGCAACAAGTAATAGTTAAATTTACTAAGAAAAAACGTGTCCATAGACTAGAACTAGAAAAAAAAAAAAATAAACAGCAATGTAAAACCAATAGCTCCCTCGCTACGCTCGGAATCTAAAAACAGTTGGAAAAATAGGATACATAAAGTTATCTGAGCGAAGTTCAATTGTTCGTATTTTAAAATGTCATAGTCTGGAAGGTTATTATTAAAATTTGATCTTGAAACGATTATAAAAATAAACTACTTCGTTATGTTCAATTAAACACAACTAAGTACAACTTACAATGAACCTCGTGTTGAATTTTCGAGCATTTCTGTTTGGTCAAATAATTTTATTCAGTAAGTACCTACCTACCTACCTAAAAAAAACAAAACAAATGAAAACTGGAAAGTTCTCCGCCATTGTATCAATATAATATTCACAAAACCCCGAAAACAATATATTATTGTTGTTTAATTTGATAAAAATGATTACACCAATATAAGTTATGTTAAGTAAATTTGTTAGTTTCATATAAGTATTACATTTTTTCGACTTTAATTTTTTTTATGTTAACTACTATTTAATATACATAACTATCGGCTATCTTTTAAACGATATCCATGTTCCATGATGTTTTTTTTCTTACAATATTCAATCACAAAAATTATAATTACCAAAAAATGTATCAATCCAGTTTAACAACAATAATATAATATTTGTACGGTTTTATTGTTTTGTGTAGTCCAATAGAGTTCATTAATTTTTGATGTCTAGATTAACATACAAAGCAGAAACTGTTTTACACAACAATATTATCAATATTATGATATTAATACTAATACCAAATACTAATATTATTATTTTCAGTTTTGATAATGATCATTATAACATTAAATGTTTCATTTTAATGGTGATTAGTGAACTATCTACAGCCAAAGTGATATTCTAACTTTACTAAAAAATGTATAGAAACAAAAAATCTATTTACATATACATGAAACTATTATTATGTCAATATGACATGAAAAAATTTTTTTTTTCTATAGAAAACATAAATCACATTTAATTTAATTAATATCATAGTGGAATTTGTAAAACAATACAATTTAATTTTATATAGTTATAGTAAACAATATTATACATTTTAAATTATCCATGTATTAGGTAAATATTTTGTTATTTTTTATCTTATGCAGATGCATATTATGGTTCATCTAAATTCTAGACAAATAAATATTTTATTTTCATTAAATCAGGATTTAGAAATATTTGTCTAATCCTTGAAATAACTATTTAACTATTTTACTTGTATGACTATAGTAGGTATTTAGTTTTGAGTAAATAAGTATACAGTTTTCAACAGGTTTAGTTTTTATATTTTACTGTTGCATTTTAACCAAGGTATGTTCTAAAAAAAATATATTTATACCTTTTTTCTTAATCTGTATAAAAAGTAGATTTATTTTATATATTGTAGGAAAAATTATTTATATTTGATAATCAATTATTAAAGTTTCATTATTTTCATTATTTTTATCTAGCTAAAAAAAATAACAAAATACTTTTCCGAACTCAACACTGAAGATATCACAGACACATAATGCGATATAACGTTGAGTAGGATATTATAATTTAAACAAATACATACTACCATGAAAATTTAAAATAATTTTTCTTATTCCTTTTTTCAGAAAACCTTATTTAATTTTTACGAACCTACACTATAGTTCATATAAGAAACGACCGCCATATGTATACTAGGCAATCCAAGTATAACAACGATGACAACCGGAATTCTTGTAGCACAAAGAAAAGAGAAATTTTAAATATTATAAACATTGTTATTAAATTATTTGGTAAGTGTATACAGAACTAGCTGAAAGGAGGAATTAGGAGGGTTACAAACCAGGGCTCCTAAAAATAAAAAATGTTCATATTGTAATTTGTGTACAATTATTTTAATCGTGCTCTGGGTAGGTAGCTATTATTTAATATTTATTATGCTTACAAATGTTTCATGCAAACTCCATATTATTGTAAACAAACTTTGGTTTCCTGTTATTTAAGGCCAGATGTATGTGTAAAATATTATAATAAATGCATCAAATATTTTAAAAATGTATTATACATTATAAAATATTCCAAAATATAGCTTAAGAAAGGTAATATGTTACAAATTAACAATGAAATCATTTTATCAAATATACACTATTTATTCAATACTTATAAAGTATATACTGATATATTTATATAACCTACAAACTAATTAACTATTCTTTTATAACCAAATATACTTCTAAAAAAAATTAATGATAGAATCTATTTGCATTCAGAAATGTCGCCATCTTTAATCAATATTAGCTATTAGGTATTATCAGTTTTCTTATTCAAGTATATGGAAGAAAGAAAAATATGTATTTATATAAAAATCCGGGCCCTAGTTAAAATAATAATATAATAGGTATAATGTTGAAATTTTTTTATAATAAAAATATTAAAAGTATTAGTAATTAAAAATAGTAATTTAAGTATCTGGATTTTATTTTTAAATAACTATCATACATAATATTTATTGTTGATAATACTATTTAATTATTAAAGTTCAATTTTATGATTTACAGAATCTTTTTTTTTTCGTTAAATATATAATATTGCCAATTTGACTTATGTTAGTTTTGACATAGAACCTTTACACCATAGATCAGTCATTATATAGGATCATAAGGATCTCTGTTGAAGCTAGTTTTTGTTGTAGGTACTTTTTAGTTCCAGGGGAAAATGGTTCCAGTCCCTCTGTTATTGTATCTAAAAATGCAGTGGTGCATATTATAAGTAATATTAAATGTCAAGTAATCATAATATGTAACACATATTTTAATTATTGTATAGAATACAAATTAATTATAAATACAATTATTTTAGACAGTGATGCGGCAATTATTTATTACAGTTTTAAAAAGTACCCAGCATGATTCTTATTTCTAGTAATGTTTTCAAGCCTTTTGATAAGACTTTTACAGTTGGATGCAAAATATATCTATATGTATATTTTTATAGTAATTTTAACTTTACAAAATAAACTTCGCTGCAATGCATTATTGACTATACAATGATTGCATAAATGTTCTGTAGCTCTTTAGTACTTAGTACTATAATCATTAGCACTTGTGGATCTGTGAATAACTTTGGGTGTTGGAAGAACTCTCATGATCAAAGGCTTTTTATATTTAGTAGATACTTTTTCAATTAGGAGCGTAGTGTGGAATATAAAATGATATTCAATTTATTAATTTTTTTTCTGTGAACAACTATTCTACCAGAAATCTTACTCTGGTGTATCAAGTATAGCACTTTTTCTTAAAGGAAATTTTATTTACATGGTACTTATGAGAGATCGTTGTTTAATCCAGGAAAATATGTAGGAAAAACTGGAAAATGTATGTACAATGTTTTTTTGTATAAAAAAATAATTAAGGTCTGGATCGTTTTTCATTAGAAATAGGTTATCGTTGTTACGGATACAAATTAAATTATTTTCGGCATTTCAACATCCAACTTCTCACCTACAACAGTAGCCCACCCATCAGATAATGTATGTTTACCTTTTTAATAATATAAATTTAAATATTTTTATGTAACCATAAATATATTTATTTTTATTTTTATTTTTTATTCAGCACATGTAATTAAACAGTAATATTATGTAATATTGTGAGTAGAAAGTTGTATTAAATATGATATTATTTTCTGAATTCTTTGTAGGATATTTTTAATATATATATATATACATTTTCATGGGCCCCAGTTCTACAGTGGGTCCCATTAGTTTTAAAAGAATAAATTTAACTAATTAATTAATTAATAATATACAAATCACCGTTTACCTATCATAAGAAACAGTTAAAAGAATCTAAACATTTAAAAATAAAAATATTAACATTCATATTATTCAAAAACAAAATAACAAAAACAATATTAATATTAGATCCTAGATCATTTTAAGAGATTATAGGAGATATTATTTATAGGGCCATATTAACCTTTACGCATTATAGTCACCGTCCCTAGGTCCTACAAAAAATAGACCATCTATAAAAAGAAGATTAAAACCAAAAAATATAATCTATTTATATATATAATGTATTATTTATATAATGTATTATTGAATTTTAGCTTAACCTCGATCTTGTGTATTTTAGATAACGTGCTACGCCATGCAATAAGAAATGTATTATTATTGTAATTGTCAATATCAATGCATTATTATGTAATAATAAATTATGTATTTATTAATAATTAGTATTTACAAATAAATAGTAGTTGATACGGTATATTATATGCACAGTTAAATTATAGCATAAATTCGATAAATATTGTTTCAAACGTAGGTCCAATGTAATATTACGTATTAGTTCTAATAAATACATATCTACCTATGATATGAAACGCAATTTTATCAATCAGTGCCTAGGGCCTACGAATGACTTCATTTGTCTGATTATTAGCGTAAATATTTTAACCAGTCATTAAAGAATACGGCATAATAATGGTTTAGTTCAAAGTAGTCGTAATGATATCAGATTGTTTAATGTTATCAAAATATATTAATATGGTTTAATTTATCCCCTATAATTGTGGTTAAAATTAAATAACAATTTATAAATTCCTATATGCAACACTACATACATGTTACAAAAAATGGCGTCTACAGGGAGCCCTAGGAGCCACAGTCCTTTCACCATCACCGAAAACCCGTATTTTTCTAAAAATGTATATATTTTTGAAAGCAGAATTGCAAAAAATCTATATACTTATAATTATTACAAACATTTCGCCATTTAAGACTTCCATTCAAGTCTCTGAAGCCACCCCTAATGATTGCAGGACCACTGTAAATATATAAATTCTTTAGCTACATTATCTGTAATATATTTACAGATTTATTTTTATGCAATCTGATCTAAACATATATAGTATATGCGTACTTTATAAAAGAATATTGTTTAAATTTAAACAAAATTAATTATTTAACCAACTGAAAATGTTGAGTCATTTTTAACAATCATGTGAAGTAAGCAGTATTCGGTGTTAGAAAACGATTATATTTAATCAAACAAATCTCGACGATCAAAATATGTTATAACCAGGGCCCGGATTTAAATGCACTATAAATCATCGAAAAATGCTCTAAAAAAAAAGCTAAAAATGCTTTTACGAAAATGACATACCAATACATTTTTTTAATTTGTTGTTTTATTTGATAATTAATAATATTTGTATTTTATTCAAAAATAAAAAGATAAAATTGAAAAATTGACTTATGTCTAGCGACGATAGTATTAACTGAAGGCCTGTATTTGACTGATTGATTGGAAACCCTGAAAAACCACGTAAAACACGGTAAATATTGTACCTCTTTAAGAATATTTGTCGTGATTTAATGGTTATTTATGACTATTATCATCCTAGGGATTCCGAATTTAAACCAGTGTTCAAAAAAAAATCTTTTGCATTTTTTTCTCATTCACTTAAACAAGGAAAAAACAAATGCATTTGGGTGTACCTAGGAGGTCCAAGCCATCACTCGCTCCGACTATTTTAATTGCAAAATACTCCTCAGTTTGTTTAGCAAACTTTTTTACCAGCAATTTCTTTTTGATTTAAAATGATTTTTTGAAAGGAAACATGACTGGGAATGTACTATAAGCAGGTAATTTTTCGATTTTTCCAGGAGTTTTCCCAATAAACGAGATAAATCGTAATACAAAAAAAAACTTATATAATATGATACTGTACTTAATATTGAATTTTCTTAGATTTCAACTAATTTAATATCAACTTGACTAATTATAGATGTTTGTGCAGGAGGAAAAGACGAGTGAGGGTGGTAAATTTATATTGACATCTGTATTCCTAAACACCAAAACCTATATTCTGTACCACAATATCACATTATGTAATGAGACACTAGTTCGTTTATATTTGTAAAATAAAATTTAAAAAAATTGACATCTAGAAATGGTAAATATAATTTGTCTGCCAAATTTGATGTCTCAACAAATATTTTTAACTACATAATCAAAACAAAAACAAATTAAAAATTAAACATAATGAAACCATTATTTCTGTAAACTTTCCTGTTCTTTCTGTGTATTTTTCTGAGTTTTGCACTATTATAAAGAAATTTACATGGAAAAACAAAAAACGGCTTTCTTAATTAGCAACTAAATCCAAAATTCAACAAAAAACGTCAGTATTATCATTTTGCGATTGGAGCAAGTTTTCTGTTCGAAAAGTTGTTTACATACAAAAAGAAAAAAACACACATAATAGTCGAACCTCCGAAACTAAAAATATATTTATATTATGTATAGTTAATAGTGTTTCATTATTATGACAAAACTTTTATATCAAATAGAGTTCAGAGAGAACAGGTACTCTAAGGGTGGCTCTGGATTTGACACTGAAGTATTGAGACCACAAGTATAAATATTGTTATACTATCATCACAGTGTCATCTATGCTACGTCCAGAAGTGCGTAGTACTTTAAAATATATTTTATGTATAATATTCTTCTAACAACAGACAATATTGTATATCTATTATAATATATTGCAATTTCGTATTACACCATAAGAATACAGTACAATATGAATATAATATACGATTTATTTTAAAATGTATATCTGTGATTATGTAATCCATATTAACACATTGACGAATATTACTACTAAAGCCATATCATATTCCGTATTTACGTCAATACTGCTGAAGTAGTAATTTTTTTAATGGTATCAAATCATAGAAGACTTCCACATTGCGACAGTCAACACATTTTACATAGACAATTTACATAGATTTTGGATGTAGGTATAGCACTACTAATATAAAAGTAAACATCATATTACAAGTGTCCGCCAATGTGGTAATAATAATTAATATTAATAAAAGTTAAATTATAAGGAAATGCAATTTACTAGTGGTCAAAAGCTACATAGTTTGTCAAAGGTTAACATGATTCAGATGTAGATATGGTTCAATAGGATTTGGAAAATTCAGCAGTTTACGATTGGAAAAATATTTCCCGAGATTTGGAGAAATGAGGATAAGGGGAAATAGTAGTGTTGCCAGTGAAAACTCTTATTGAGTTATAAAGTTGTCAAAAAAGAGGATATAAAGAAGAAATGTTTTGGAGAACTTTAAAATAAATTCTTAAGTAATGCAAAATAAGACATCGCAAGTTGTACGGTTTTTTTTTTTTTTACAAATAATGAAAGCGAAAATAAATTCTTTTTAGGTGTGAGAAATAAATAAAACTTATTTCTTCGAGGTATAGATATTTGATGGGTACATATTCAGTTATTTTAAACTTTAGAGAATACTATTACTTTTATAAATTATTTGCATTACTCCGTGTCAACGAGTAATTAAAAATACCGTCTATTCTACATACCTACCTATAGGGCTTTAGAAATTCTTTACTGCGCCTCGACTCGCGCGTAGTTCAAATATTTTCGACCTGAACGTAAACATGTCTACAGAACCTAAAGTTAAAGGATTTGGAATGATGTATCGACGTGTTGTGAACAGAAATGCCACCGAAAGGATGTCGATTTTCGGGTTGATAAAAAAAATCCTCTTAGATTTATATATTATTGCGGGTACTCCGTACGCACTGAACTGTAAACAGTTTGGTGATTATACTGATTATTATTATTATACATCAGTATTTATTATTGTTTAAAAATCCATCGATCGCTCAACTGGTACATAGGTACCTATATACCTATAGATAACTATGTATAATATGTTTACCTAATACGTCGGATCGATAAAATTGGTGACATTATAAGCTTTATCCGAGTACATTTTTTTAATCAATTGTGTATATCATAGTATATGTATACTACATATATATACATGTATTAAGGTATAGATGTCGCCTTGATAGCTGACCGCGCAGTAGCGGTGTATATTTCGAAAAATAACGATAGCGGGCCGCCTTCAGCCATCGATTCATTTTACTCCCTGCAGATACCGCTAGTACTCGTGGATTTCGCGCCATTCAATTCGGCGCTCCTGACTAAGTAACACGAAATTTATCTCAAGTATGTACTTTAATTTTAATTTTTCGATTTTTGTATAATATATAATATTTAAGATATATACATTTAAATATATTTAATTTCACGTTATTCGTGATAAAATACAATATTAAAATTAAAGGATAATATTTAATTTTTTTTTTTTTACTATTTTCTTAACAGGTCCTATTCGAACAACATGCCGTTATCGAATATTATGTGCAGCCTCAAATATAAACGTATAAACCATCCCCGACAAGACAATGATGAAACAAAATTTTTCGATTTCTCCGATATGGCGGCCAAAATCCAAATATGGTGGCGGAAAATAAAAAAGAATCGTGCAGAAAAACGCAAGGAAGATCAAGAAGTAAAATTTTTTCTAGAAGTAATTATTTTCAGTATTATTATATTACGATTAAATTTATTTTTTAGATCCAAGGTTTAATATCGCAGAAAGAGAAATATAAAACAATATAATATTTGATGTCTATATAAAGTTTTAGTAATACTATCATAGTGTAAATTAGACGTTACTTGTTTTATGTTACTTCTTCGCGGAAATATTCTCACAATTTAAATAATCTACTACAAAAATTTAACGAAAATAATTCAATTTAAATTTTATGTTTTTAAATTCATACAATGTAGTTTGTTGTATTATTTTTAGTAAAATACTACTAGTAAAACTATAATTTTTTTTTCACATGATACATCATAGCTTAAACAATTATTATTGTTATTATTATTCTAATTGCAATATTATTAATTGGCTTACAAAAAATAAAAAAATACGACTACATTTTTAGTGTATACATAATGATTCGTTTTATTTATTTGTTTTTGAAATTTTATTCCATCTATACTAAATAAATAGTAGGTACCTAAATAATTTAAAATATCAAATTAATTACAAATAATCTGAAAATAAGTTTTACTTTACCAAATATTTTTGAATTTATTTTGAAGTCATTTGTGCCAAATAAATGTACATCATTAGGTACACAAAAACTTTGCGAATTAATTAAAATTTAATATAAATTCGTAAAATTAGTAGTTGATAATACTTTAGTTTTATATTTTGGGCCAAACTAATACACGAAAAACCCTTATTATCGTTATTGGACTATACCTACTAAGCAGTAGTTGCTGCTAGAAATAAAAGCTGCCCGCTAATTATTTAAAATATGTTTTACTAAATATTTTAAAATTTCTATATGATTACAGGCAATACTGTGTCTAGTTAAAAAATTATAGAATCTTCCAAATCAGTTAATCATATAAAAAAAAAATGAGTTTGTTCAAGCGTCAAAACGAAATATTTAGATATACGGTACTCGTATACTCATATATTATATAGGTATATACAGTTCTACCAACTAAATTAAAAAATAAAACTTCTCCTTTTTTTTTTTAATTCAATTAAAAATACAAAATTTTATTTTACTGAAAAATAACCCAATTCACCATACAGAATTATTATTATATTTGTAATTTACGCAAAATATTTCAACTAAATAATCATATCCTATAGTGATTTTTTTTTTATAACCATTTCTAAAACGCATACACGTATTGTATAGACCTAGGTATTATATTTCGTTTTATTAAATTATAATTATTAGATACCTACTTATTAAGTTGATTCATTTAATTAAAAAATTTAAATCCAGCGATTTTTCAGGGTTCTAATATAGGCTTATCATAAACGATTTAGGGCTGAAATTTTAATCAGCCCCGAGATGATATTTTCTTAATTAGTCGCATCGCCGACTCACAACCAACGTATTATAATATTATAGTTTCACAAACCTAATATCTTGGTAGCCCAGTTTAACCTTTATCCCCCCACTCGTTAGAAAATTGTTTATGAACAATATAAGTATGTATATTTTGGCCAAGATGAGTAGATATTAATTACTAATGTACTCAAATAATTTATCTATAACAGTTTAAACTAGGTACATTATAACACCATTAGTTCAAAATCGATATCTTACATCACAGCTCGACATTATCGACATTAATTATTTAACAACGAATAACAAACACATCTACAAAATACGAAGTTAAAAACAAAAGTAAAACGAAACAGTCGTAGAAATATTAGATTTAATTTACAGGTTATATTTTGTTATTATTATAATTTTTAAGTAGCAGGTGTGTAAATAATTCATTTGGTACACAAAAAAAAACAAAAACAAAAAATGAACAAAACTAACTAACTCTGATGGACCATAATTATTATTTGCTCTAAGAATTTGAGTTGTTAATTTTTTATTAAATTACGAGTTTTTCAAGAGAATAAAAAAAATAAAGTTTATTTTATTTTTAATTCAATATTTTGATCATAATATTCTGAAATTAATATTTTTTTATTTGCAATAAATTAATAATTTATGGGCCCATTTAAATGTTATGAGTATATTTATATTATTTATTTATTCGATTATGATAATTTACAACGTTTAACAAAACGTTATCAAAAAATTAAAAATACAAACGTAAATATTTCATATTGGGCTCGAAATAAAATTACTTGATAAACATTATAAAATTCAGTATACATAGTAGTATCTATGTCCATTACTATAAGATATAGGGCATACAGTGAAAAATGATCGGAAAAAAAACATCCTAAAAGTCTTCAATAAATCTGGGCCCTAGATCAGATACGTAATTTTTAAAACATTTGTATAGTTAAAAATAATTATTACTTCGTTAAAAGAATAATAAAATAATTGATTTTTAAATGATTTTATGAATTTAATTATCTATATGCAATTTTATTCAATAACCATTCGAGAAAAATCGAATAAAATAAAAATAATACATGCTTTACCACAAAAATATATTCGTTGAATATTTCCGGAGATAATAAAGATAATCAAATTCTGTTTTTTTTTTTTTTTTTTTTTTTTTTTTTTTACATTACCCATAAGGATGAGGACTACAAATATTTATATTTGAGTTAATTTTTTTTTTAAAGTAACTTTATTTTATTATTTCAGAAAAATTTTAAGTTAGCCATTAAGTAGAATTTATTTTTAATTTTAATGTATCACGCATTTATATCCTATGAATAATTTTTAAGTAACAGTCGTTTTAAATTCTTCTAATTCATGTAAAAGACGATGTCATATAGGGAATAGCCTAACTGCGTTACTTGATAACATAAGTTTTCAAACGGATTAGAAGAATATAAAACGGCTGTTATTTAGAAACTATTCATCGGATATAAATGTGCGATAGATTAAAATTTCCTGTAAAATAATAACATAAAAAGTTATTTTTTTAATGTTTTTAAATTTAAAAAAAAAAATCAATTCAAATATAAATACTTATAGTCCTCAACCCTGTGAGTAATATAAAAAAAAAAAAAACAGAACTTGATTATCTTTATTATCTCCACAGGTATTCAAGGGGTATATCTTCATAGAACAGCCTGTATAATCAGCTTATTATAACCAATGTGAAATTTTATTACCTACCTACAATTCACATCCCCTAAAGCTTAAATATAGGTGTCATCTACAAAACTTTTTTAAAAACACTAATATTACGGTATAAAATTAGCAGTATGTAATATTATTAGTACCAAAATCGGAAAAAAAAACATTAGAGAAAATTATAAAATATACTTAATTTAAATTTTAAATAAAATCGATTATTTTACTCACTTTATTGCGACTAATACTTTTAAGATGTTTCGTGCGAAAAATGTTCCATCATGGGCATTTGATTTAGGAAACTTTCCCTTTTTAATATCATACAATAATTTCCATTTTATTAAATATAACGGTAAAAAGGAAATATTATTAAACTAGGTGTATATAATATAATATTAATAAATTAACATAATATTATTACACAAAGTGGTTCACGGGACATTTGTGTAAGACCTAAACCATAGTTGGACACGCGTCAGGGTTAAGGCTAGAGTGCACAACCTTTACTTAATGAATCCTCTTAATAAATTTGCAGATAAATTCGTCATAATTAATACACTTTTCCTATACAAACAATATAGGTACGTAGGTATTAATTTTATACAAGAAAAAACTTCGCTGTGTGATGTACTTACGTAATTCCAAATTGACGCAAGGTTTTCTTAAGTGAACGTTTCGGGATAAAATAATGTCAATGATAATTATTATTACCTAGTATATTAAATTGAAACAGAACTTAACCTATGATAATACCGACGACGATGGACAATAATGGTCACTGTTCGAATATTATGAATTTGAATGCCATACATTATATTATTAAAGGTAATTTAATCGTTAAAATAATATAAAATACGAATATTCCTACATCCACTATAATAGCAAGTTATACCTAAAAATAAATACTCTTATAAGTGGGGGTTGCTGTGAAGTAGACCGTTTTTGGAAATATTATTTTTCTATACAAAAAATATATGCGAGCGATGAAACGAGCGAGTGATGGAGAGAGGTAAATGTTTATCGAACAAATTAAGTATAGTAGGTATAGGTATATGTAGTAGGTAAGGTAGGCGTATAATGTTTTCCCTGGTGATCTCATCATATACCTATTTTGGCTCTTATACACGCGTGCGCGTAACAACAAAAGATACCTCTACCACATAACAACGTAATTGAGTTTATATTTAGGGTTTTAATTTTTTTTTTTTTTTTTTAGTACCTTTTTAATTTAACAAAAATATTTGTCGATACGACGTATATAAAATATTTACACACGCAAAAATAAATAGTTATTTGTTTTTATTTTTGGAAATATTTTAATGAAATTACTTATTTAAGTATCTTTATCTAATAATATATTTATATATTTTTAATACAGAAATTAAAATATAATATTTCACATAATACATTATCGAACTTTTAAAAGATTATATTACAAAATATTATTATTTCCCAAAATGTGCTGTATAGGTTTTTAACGCCCATTGTTGTAGATTATTCTCAATATCGATTTTAACTTAACTTTTCAAAGCGAAATGGTTTTTTGAAAAAGCTGAAT